ATCACTGTCCTTTCTGTAGAGTGTTGACCCGCTTTCATCACCTGTATTTGCTGTAGTTTTCAGGAGTGTCTCTTCCCCAGCACAGACCTGGTGTAGCATACCCACAAACGTGAGTAGCGTGCACATAGAATGGAACAGGTGTTCAGCATTTGTGTTCAGTCCTGCAGTGAACGTGGTTCAAGAACTGCAAAATAAACTCCAATTTTCCAGAAACGAAAACCATTCTTTGCTCATAAAAAGCCTCCAGCGTTTAGACTTCTACAATGCGAAAGAATGGAGACACAGGCCACCTTCCTTCCTTGTGAGATGGACTGTTTTATTTATTAACATTGCCGAAGGGCTTTTTTAATTTTTTTTTTTTCCTTCTGTAGGCTGCGTAGCTGCATAGACTTTTCAGATAGGTTGAAGCTGTAACCCTCTGTGCAATGCAATCCATTGAGTAATGTAACCCCCTCCTCCGCCCTCCCCCCTTTATTTCACTGATGGGAATGCCTGCCTCTGCTTCTGCTGTTTTTTTTCCTTTGTAGCAGTTACTCTGAGTTTTATAAATCCAGACATCAGTGCTAGCACGCTGTTACTCTTTTGATTTTGTCTCAGTTTGTTTTAAACCTGTTTGTCATCAATAAAATATTAATAAACAGCTCTTGCATTCACGGTGGCCCCCTACCTTTCAATGAGGAAACCATGCACCATTCATTAAAACTTAGTATGATTGTAGAAACTTCAAGTTTATTACTTCCTTTAAACACAGACTGGTACAAAAGTGGGGGGAGGGGGGGGGGGGGGGGCAGAGCGGACGGGGGGAAGCAAATGCAGATCCTGGGTGGGTGCTCAGCCTGGCTCCAGCAACAGCTCTGCATCCCTCAGTCTGCTCCAGCCACCAAAAGGAGAGGAGGGGTTTGTAAATCCCTCCTGTTTTAATGGGGAGAGAAGGAAAACGGCTCCTGCTGGGTTACGGCCCACTCAAAGCTCTTAAAGCCTTCAGTGGTGGGCGCTGCTTTCTCTGCGCTACGTTAGGGGTTACTGCTGGCTGGGGGGAAGCTGAAGGTGAGTGCTACAGCTAAGGGCTGCTCTCCAGCTACTCAGCCTGGTTCAGGAGTGGCAGCAGGGCAGTGCTGCAGGAAGACGCTCCTCTGCAGCTCCGGCAGTGGTTCAAACCCTCAGTGCTTCCTTGGAGCTGCACTCGGCAATACTTCATCAGATCTTGAGACAACACAGCAGGTACAAAGAAAAACAGTCCAGGCTGTGCTGTCAGGCTCATATTTCAAAAAAAATAATTCAAGTTAACTCAGATTCCTTGTCTGCTCCCCCCACCCCCAAAAAACAGCAAAGCTGCAGCGGTGCCAGGAAAGCCTCTGCTGGAGGAGCAGCACGCAGCACTGCCATGGCATTGAACACTGCGAGAGCAACTGCTGCAATGGACTGAGGAGCACAGCCAAGAGCTGCAGATCTGTCCACAAATCCTCAAAAAAAAAAAAAAAAAAAACTAAAAAAACCTAAAAGCCAAATAAATCACAACCCCCAAAAGCGTATGTGCATTATTAACGTTGTGCCTGCGTTACGAGGGTTGTAATACTGCTGTGCAAAGCTGCTGCTGCCTGCACTCACTGCTTCGCTCAGCGAGCTGAATTTGGCGCTGTGCTGCAGCAGAGGGAGCTGGGGGGGTCAAAACGCCACCGACTGCTGCACACATGGCACTGCGTGCCCCTGCTCTCCTTCCTCAGCCACAGCGCCTCCCCTGCGGTGCTGCTCCACAGAGGCTGATGCAGACAAATCCTCCACAACAGGTGAATGGGGGCTGAACAAAAAGCAGTGCTAGAGGGAACTCGGCTCCAAGTACACCAACATGCAGCTCAGGTGTGAAGCAGAAGCACCGCTGTCCCACAGCCTCCACTGCCCCGGGGAAGGGATTCAGTCGGACACAGCTCGCGTCACGACACCATACCTCTTCCTGCAGTTGGACCAGAGCTGCTGCAGCTGAACCTGCCAGCATCACTTCAAATTTGTCATTTCGTTTTGCATCGCCTAAGCTGCAGAAAGCTGAAAACAACAAAGCCCAGCAGCTGCTCTGCCAGGCACAGGCGGAGGCCGGGATTCCCAGCCTGGTGTCTCTGCCACCCACAGCGGATGGCTGAGCAGCACCCAGGGTCAGACCTGATCATAACCCCGTCACCACCTGCAGGCTCTGACAGAGCATCTCAGGGCACCCAGCACAGCACGGCCACTAAACCAGCCCTGTCACCATCCCGTCATGCAGACCTCCTCTCTGCCTGCACGTGAGGAAGGCAGCACAGAGGGGAGCTCTGACCTCCTTGTCCCAGTAGCAAACTCCCTAAGCACCAGCACAGAGGGCATTTATCACACTTGGATTTATTCCATCAATCATTCCGTGTCCCCCACGGCGCATACCCACAACCACTCCTCTATCTGCAGCCGCACTCATCCACCACCATGTCCTCGTAGTGCCTCAGCACCACGTTGTCACTGTTGTCATAGTAGAGGATGGAGATGGGGGACAGCCTGACGGGGACGCAGCAGGGCTGGGGTGTCCCCTCCGGGTCCAGTGAGTGCACCATGGTCTGCAGGATGGCGTGGTTGGTGCTGTTGAGCTCAGCCGTCAGGGGGAAGGGGCACTCGCCCAGGCAGTAGTTGGCCATGTAGCCCTGCGGGGCGATGATCCAGTTCTCCCAGCCGACGTCACTGAAGCTGATGTAAAGGCGCCGGGGCTTGCAGAGGTTGCTCGGTGTGATGGGGACGTTGTAAGCGCTCCTCCTCCTCCTGGATGCCCCGCACTGCTGCTGGCTGAGGGTCACCACCAGGAGAGAGGCATCCAGGAACGAGTCGATGCCGGCACAGAGGCCCTGTGGCCCTGCGCTCAGCGGGGCTGAGGCTCCGTCTCCGCTCACCGCGATCTCCAGGATCAAGCCCAGGTTCCTGCTGTGAGTTGTCCAGTCCTTTGCCACATCGCTCAGGTTGAAGAGCAGAGACTTGTGCAGGCGGGCGAAGGACTGCTCCACCAGCAGCTTGCGGCCTCGCTCCAGGGACGGCGTCCCCCTCAGTGGCACCTGGCAGCTGCGGTACAGCCGCAGCTCAAAGCCCTGCCCCCGGCCCGGGCTGTGGTACGAGTTGTGGCTGAACTTGAGCTCCAGCTGAGCCATCGTCAGGCGCTCACCCTCCTCCAGCACAGAGAGGTTAAAGTACAGACGCTTCTGCAGACACAGCAGCGGATGGGGCTGTGTGCTGTGAATGAAGTGGCCTGATGGAGAAGAAGAAATAGAGGTGGTGGTGTCTGAACCCCCTTATGGCGAGCAGGATCAGCCTCCCAGTAGTCGATCAAGCTCCTGGCTGCACACGAAGAGGAAGACGGGCAGAGCAGAGACAGGCAGCTCTACACATCCACAGCTGCTGGATCAAGATGACAGCGCCTGGGATGGGGCCATCAGCCCCACAGCACAGCCTGCAGAAAACTGTCAGCATCGCCCCCGGGGCAGAAGCGTTGTTAGAGGATGGAGGGAAAGGAGGGCGGATAGCAGCAAACGGACTGAAGTGACGAGCTGCCTGTGAAAGCCAGCCCTAGATTTCCACTGGAAATCTGAGCTCAACAGAACCCAATCGTGCCTTGAGATGCTGATGGCATTGACAAAGCAGCTGCCACATAAAGGAATGGCTCAGAGCAGCCCGAGGCAGGAGGACCAAAAGGAGAATGGGGACAGGACCCAGCAGGATTGCTGAGCATCTGCCTCCACCCGAAGCAGGGAGCCCGAACTCTAACATCATTACCTACAACACGCTCACAGATCAGACCATACACAGGCAAGACTGGTCTCAGAAACCACTTCTGGCTGCTGCCCTGTCCTCCCCCAGCCATTCCCAGCCCAGACCACCGAGAGGCTTTCAAAAGGCAGGACTCAAACGGCAGCATTTCTGTACCTTGGTCAGCGAAGACACGGATGATGTTCCCAGGGACGTTAAACTCTTCCACTCTACAACCATCCACCGGGTCTCTGTTTGTTGCAGGAGAGCTCTTTCTCTTCTGGAAGATCCGCCAGAGAACAGATGGCACCGGAATGGGGATTTTGGGGCTGGGCTTCACGCTCAGACCCAGGGATTTTAACAGCAAACTTTCCTGTAAACTTAAATCCATCCCCAGACTCACAGTAAGGAGAGCCCAGGCGAGGCCAGCTCCAAAGCTGGCACGCACAGGGAGAGGCCACATCACTCCGCTTTCCTGACCACAGACAAAGAGCAGCGCTGTGCACAGGACCCACTGCCAGCTGCACTGAAGACAGGGCCAGGGGGTGATGATTGCCTGATGGGAGCCTTTGATCTCGTTAGTGCTCAATTAGCACACAGGGATTCCCAGGATTGGGCAGAGGGTGTGAACGGTCCCCCCTGGCTCCCTGGGGCCTTTTAACCCTTTGAGGCTGTGGCAGGAGAGCAGCTCAGAGCTCCCTCCCCTTCTGCATCTCCACCCCATTGAGGTCCAACAAGAAGTTCCACGCAGCAGCAATGCTGCCAGCACGCCGAGCTGCTCCCCGTGCCCTGGAGAAGGGCAGATCTGGTGGCCACTCCACCCAGACCGGGGAGACGCTGCTCAGTCCGGGCTTCTCTCACTGCCTCCTCTCCAATCAGCTCCTCAATCACAGTGTTTAACACTTCTCTCCAAACGCTGTTAACTTCCAGCACAGCACATCTTCAAGCTCTGCCCTTCAGCTCCCACCATCTTCCCCCAGCCCAGGTGCACAGACAGCAACCAGCACCCACTTCCCACACAGGGTCCCCCCGCTCAGGCACACACACACCAAATGCTGCAACCCAAGCAGTGCCAGTGCCCAGCACTCCAACACACTGAGATTCAGCTTCCTTCGTTTCCTCCTTCCTGCAAATCCAGTTCAAAAGCCAAGAAACTAAAGCACACAGATAGAGCCCTCTGAAACTCTGCTAGGAAATTACAAGGTGACGCATCCTGCCACAGCTTGGCAGTTTCCATCAAGCCAAAGTCACATTTTGCTTTCAGTTTCCCTGAGGCTCACGTGGCAGCAGTGAGTCAAATCAACATAAAGAGATCAAACAGTAAAAAATAAAATTAAAAAAAATAATAATTAGTCAACCTATGATGCCTGGAGTTGATGCATCCAGTATCCTACCACTGCCTACTGATTCCAACCAGGGGGAGCTCTGTGCTGGGTCAGCCCCAGCCCCCAGACCCCACCAGGCTCGGGTCAACGCTGCCTGGAAAACCAGCACAGGCAGCAGAGATTGACTGCTCTTCACTCAAGCAAGCAGACGTTGCTGGGCAAGAGTCTGCAGATATCTCTTACATGGGCTTTTTAAGCGAACAAGATGTCCTGGCCCTCATCCTGGGCCGGAATAATGCTGTAGGGCTGGGTTTCCAGGAAGACCTGCACGAGAGAACTGTGCTGCATGCTGCAGCCTCCAGAGAAGCACAGACATCTCCGAGTTAGAGACCCCTCCAGGTCAGCAAGGCCCAGAAGTGCACTGCTTCACCTCTCTGCTGCCTGCTGGCTCCAGGAGCAGAGCTGGCTTTGGGTTCCCTATGCCTGATACTGCAGTGCCAATGGGGGAGAGGACGTTTCCCTCCCCACCTGACACTGCATCAGAGAACCCTTCAGTGCTGCTGAGGCAGAGTGGTGGGGAGGGGCCAATGCAAACAACAGGAGAAATCACAAAGAGACTGAGAATAGCTGAGGGATGGATGGAGTGAAAGAGGAAGCACCAGGGGACCTAAAGCCAGCTCCAAATCCTACCTGGACCAGCAAAGCCACTGCCTCTCAACTGAACCAGCACGTACAGGCTACAGAAAGTACACAGCATCAGGTGAAGCCTGGTCACAGGCAAGGCCTGGCAGGGGCCTGTTCCATCAGTGGCATCTCTTCCCCGGCTCCAGGCAGGGGATGAAGGGGCGTTGGGGATTAAGCTCTTCTTGTGCCTTTCATTTGCTGGGATTGAGCGTAGGGTCCTGGCTCAGTCCCCAGATCCAGCCAGGCTGCAGCAGCCACTCTCTTATAACCGCTTGTCTTTCACAAGTCCGTTCTTCAGGTGCATCCTGTGAATGAGAGCACAGCAGACAATGAGCTTGGGCCTCTGCACTGACTGTCTCTCCCTTACTCTCACACATCACTGCTGATCTGCCATAACAGGCTCATGCAGGCATTTTGAGGCTGGTCCCATCAGTCAGACCTGCTTTACAGGATCCGGCAGCTCACCTGACTTTGTGCTCCACACAAACAGCAGATGCTGCTCAGGGGGAGCAATGTCACACACAGCCAGTTCTGCTGGTGAGGAGGGGAAGGGAAAGGTGAGGATCCATGGGACAAAGGTGGACAGACACCGCAGTGCTGGGATGTGGAGACACAAAGTTCTTCCCTGCAGCTATTTTTTACACTCTGCATCAAGACATCCTTCTCTTTTCCAGCCCAGTGGTGGATGCTTTGAATGCTGCTCCACAGCATCTTCCCTTCTCCCAACCCAGAGGTGCTGCCCATGTCCCCACCCCTGCCCACGCACCCTTCTTTCAGAGCATTGGGCAGCTGGAGCCCACTCTCTTTCTTCTTGCCCGCTGTGGTTTTCTTGCTGTCCTCCACATCGTACTCACGCACGTCATTCACCTCGTGCACCTGCCCCATCAGCACCTTGGCCACAAACAGGACGATGTACTGCAGGGGGAAAGGCACCATCAGCCACAACCCCAGGCCCAGAGCTGTTCCACCCAGCCCGCTCCATCCCATCTGCTGCATGGGGCGTTCCTCTGCTGCCTTCAGCCCCTTCAGCAGCTCCCATAGGGGTGGACAAAGCTCCTACAAATGCCATTTTGACTGATTTCATCACCCCCAGACAATGGATGCAGCTGCCACCCAGCCCAGCGTTCAGCCTCACCCCTCCCCCAGAACTTCACGAGATGCCATGGCTTTTGTGCCTGTGTCCCTGTGCCACATTCCCACCTGCTCCAGTGCCAAGGAGCCCCCGGGGCAATGACAGTCTGCTACAATCCCTTCCCCCAGATCCCTGGGCTGAGACATTCTCCATTCCAGCACCAAGAAGCCCTCTGGGCGCTGCCCTCCTCCCTCCCCTCTCAAACCCCACGCTTCCCCCATGCCTGCAGCTCCCACAGCCACCCTGGAGAGGCAGGCAGCAAGCATTGCACAGCGGCAGTTGAGGCAGGAGAGGCAGCGCAGGGGTGGCTGAGCTTCCCCTACTCACCAGAAACCAGTAGATGTTCATCAGAGTGAGGACAAGGAGCAGAGCATTGAAGAAGAAATAGAAGGGGATATTAGGAACCGACTGGAGGCTGGAGTAGCAAGTGGCGTAGAGCACCTTGAGGGGAAACCAGTAGAGACGGAACCAAAACCTGCCAGGGCAGAGGGAGCAGGGTGGGATTAATGGCCCCCAGGGATTCCCAGAGCAGCTGCCTCCAGCACAGCCTCCCTTGTCAGCTCCTCTTGCAGCTGGCAGTCCCAGCCCCTGGCATCTGATTTGGGTTTAAAGGCCCGGTTCTAAGACTTCACACACGCAGGTACATCAGTGAGGGTACTACTGCCACAGGCTGAGCACCAGCACCAGGCTGAGCAATGGCTTTCTCAGAGTAGAGGGAATTCTACAGTGCAGATTTTCTCAGCTGGATGGGGGCACAGCAGAGGAGTACAGCTGGAAGGTTTTCTTAGTTCTGTGCATCCCTTGTTTATCACTCAAAACCTTCCTGGTTCTCCTTCCCCCTCATATCAATCGCTCCTGTTGCCACCTCTCCTTTTCAGAGAAGCCTGCAGAGAGGGAGGAAGGAGACAAAGGGATGCACCAGGAGTGACAACCTGTGAGTAATTTATCTCTGCTCTTCATCTTTCTCTCCTGCCTTTCCCCAGGAGGAGCAGCAGGGCTGAGATCTGAGGCCCACATCCCATTTGCTTCTTCAAAAAAAAAATAAATAAAATAAAAAAGAAGAAGAAAAAAAAAAAAAACCCAACCCACAAAAATTGTTTATTAATGCTAAAACCAAATGAGTGGGAAAATGGGAACAGCTCCTCCTCCCCTGGGGTCATTTGTCATGCTGCAAGCAAAATTTCACAGGCACTTCTGTGGTGACAGACGGCAAAGTGACTACAGAAGGATTCCAAGCCCAGCATGGGGTCAGGCTCTGCAGGAACCTCTTCCCAAATAGTTTATAGAAACAACTCGTTCCCATGCACACACACCCAGCAGGCTGTACCCCGGGGCACCAGGGGGACTGCAAAAGCTGGCAAGGATAGCTGGAAGTGGGATCAGGGCTGGGTAGGCAGACAAACTCACCAGCTGACACTGAAGGTGAGGCAGCCAATGTTGGAGATGATGTCGTTGAGCCGATGGTAGACACCCCCCCGGTGCTTGAAGTAGACATTGAGCTTAGTGAATTCCAGCTGCACGTCATTAACATCATGCAGGAAGAGCACGAGGATGCCCACGTTGTGGTACCTACAGGAAAGGGGAACAGGGAGGGAGGGAGATGTGGACCACCGGGTCTGCGTCAGCACACAGCACACATCGCCCCCCGCACCATAAGCAGCTGGGCTCTGTGAACAGCACAGAACAAGGCCTGGGAAGGCACAGCGTGGCAGCAGGCTGCAGGGCAGGTCTGCACTATGCAACGGTTTGTGAGCACTGGGATTGCTGTGGGAGTGCAGGGTTAGAGGTGGGAAGAATCTGCGCCAGCCCTGGGTGAGTCCCCCATACACAGGAGATGCATGGGAGCACAGAAAAGCCACAGCCTTTGCTGCACGCTGCCCAAGGCTGGCACAGGTACAGCACAGGGGGACAGCACGACAGCCAAGACCCTCACCTGAAAGCGTAGGAGAAGGCTATAAGGGTCAGAGCAACCACGTGGTGGAGCAGCATGACAACGGAGTCCTTGCGCCACGTGTCCATGTAGGCAGTGGCATAGATGGAGTGCCCATAGAAGCTGCACTGCAACAGGTAGGCGATAGCGATGTCCGTGGGCACATCCATGCCCTTCTTCCAGTCTAAAATGGGAGAAAGACACCCAGGGTGAACCCAGAGCCCTCATCAACATCACAGAGGAGCGCAAACAGCCAGGAGCCAACAGCAGCAGAGCTGCCCTGGGCGCCTGTCAGCACTTTGCTGTGCTCAGCTTCCACTCAGGACTTCCCAGATGAAAACAAGGTGAATTCTGGAAGAGGACCCAGGCATCCTGGCTCCCAGACTCCTCCTCTGGCATCAGACCCATTCCCACTCAGGGACGTAGGGTAGAAGCCCTGATTTACTTCCCTCCTTCTCTAACTCCTCAACCCCTCTTTGCTCCGTAGCCAAAACCCAGACCCTGCTGTCTGCAACAGCCACTAGGTGACACCCTCTCTGTAACAAAGTAATAGAGGCGGCCTGTTCTGCACTAAAATCATCACAGAAAAGTTAATGTGGAGGCTTGGTCTGAGAATTTCTCTCCCACCAACTTCAGTTCCCTCGTTCAACTCAGGTTTCCTATGAACCTGAACATCCTACTGCACACCCCCTTCTCCCTGACTCTTACTGTACCATAAAAAACGGACGGTGGGTCGTAGAAGAAGGGGTAATCAGTGAAGAACAGCAGGTAGCAGCCATAGGACCAGGATATTGTGTAGAAAAGCAGCTTCCAGGCACTCTCAGGCATCTTGGCAGCATCTTTTGGCTGCAGCTTGCACCACTCACCGAAGGGCTGTAAGGAGAAGGGAGATGTGTCACCACAAGGCAAGGAGACCCCGAGGAGCCCAGCACAAAGCTCACAGAATCCCTAAGGGACTCCAACACCGCACTCTGCAGGCACTGCCAGAGAGGACAAAACCAAGGACGTGAGTCTCATTATTTTGGTTTTCTTTACAGCTTGAGCTACGAGGTCCGAGAAAGAGCCTAAAGCGGGGAAAAACGCAAAGTTGGAGATTCATCCACTCTGCCTTGGCCACATTGGAAAGCTGCAAAAGCAGAGCCTTGCAGAGAAGGAGGAAATCTACAGCACGCATCCCAGGGTCTGGGCATCACTCCATCACCCTGGCTCCAGGAGCAGGGCTGACCACAACTTGCTTTTGCAGAACAGAATCAATACAACTGTAATAAAATCAAGTCCCATCTGCATAAGGAAATCCAGAAGAGGAAGCTCTAACAATACCACCCTATGCATTTGGACTTTGCAGTGCTGCCAGGTCCCAGAAAAGAACCTTTCAAGGGAGGAAGTGATGGTTCTGCTGAGTCCTGAACACAGCTGCTGCTGCTGCTTTCCAAGCAGCGGGGCACAGCATCCTCCTGCACAGCCAGCACCGGAGGGAGCAACTCTGCATGTAATGTGTGTGTAAGGGCTGCTCCTCCTGCTCCCTCACCCCAGGCTCACCCACAGCTGGCTTGTTTTTCACTCCTCTGGTTTGCAGCACCCTTCCTGCTGGTCAGGACTCAGAGACAGGAGGCAAAGCCTCCCCAAATATGGCCAAAGTGATGAAGGAGGGGACGAGCAGCTCAGTGGATCACTCGTTCTATTAAGAATGAAACTTTCTCACTTCAAGTTCCCCACGATGCTGAGGATGATGAGTAGTGCACCTGATTTTTGATACTCATACTTCGCAACAGCAAGAGAGCGAGGGGCCGGGGGCTGCTCAGAAATCACAATGAAAGCAAAGCTCCAGCATTTTAAACAGCTCAGCTCCCCAGGAAATGAAGGATAGCATGAGCTGTTCCGGATCAGATCATGAGCGCTCCGCAGGATGAGCGAGCGCCCTCAGCTCAGCCATGGCTCTCAGCGCTGATGTTTTCCCTCAGTGGCAGCTGAGCAACACCAGACACCATCTCTGCTTCTAATCATGAGACTGACAGGGCCCTACCAGTCCCAGCAGCCTCCACCCGGCTGCAGCAGAGCATCACTCAGCGTCCAGCAGGAATTGCCTCTCCTGAAACAGATAACACACCCCGAGGCCCCGGGTGGGGGAGCTCCACTGGGAGAGATAAGCCAGAGATGAAAACAAAACGCTTGCAAAGTAACCATACCCTGCCCCAGGTCAGCACTTTCTGCAGCCCGCGCCTGGCTCCTTGATGCTCAAAGGCTATATTAAGGCTCCAGCTGTCCCCAGGCAGAGGCCCGCCTGGCTTTTAGCCCCTCTCTGTGTCAGGCTTTCAAAGGACTCCACTCTCGGTCTAAAAGTGCTTTGTTCTGAGCTTAGAGCAGCGCTGGGAAATTCCGACCTGGAAGCAGCAGCCCCAAGTGCTCTGCCAAGCTGCCCACAGCCCCTGCAGCCAAAGAGGGGCAGCGCCGGCCTCCCCGTGCATCCTGCATTCACAGCGTGGCTGAGAACACACTGCTGCCAAAGCCTCTTCCAACAGGAGCCACGGCAGGAAAAAGAGAAGGAAGCTTGAAGGGTGAATGAATAATGCAGAGACAGAAAGTCCCAAGCCCAGAAAGCATGAATTATTTGTATCTCCATAAAGTGGAGCAGAGAAGCAGCTCAGCTGCGGGGGCAGCTCAACACTTTGCCAAGGCAGACCTTTGCCACTCCTGTGCTCTTCATTAGGGACTGGATTTAGGACACAGGGCTCAACCCCACGACCCCGTTGCAGCAGTGCTGTCAGTCACCAGCCAAGTCACTCAGCTGCATCTCTGCACCTCAGTTCCCCACCTGAAAAGGGTGAGGGCAACTTACATTTCTATTCCAGGCAGGCAGAGCTGACGACAAGGGCTATCACTCAGCACATCCTGCTGGGCCAGCCGTTTCTGGAGGCTCGGGCCCTTGGCAGAGGTTGTAACAGTGCAGCAAACCTGGCAAACCTGTCCTCAGGGCAGGAGACGTGTGAGGTAGGAGATGCGCAAGGCAGGAGATGCCCTCCTGCTACCCAGCTGTCGTCCCCATGGCAACAGCACGGAGATGCCTGTTGCTAAGGGCAACGGGTGCTGCTGCTGGAGCAGTGGATCTGGCTCCGGCTGAAAGAGCCCAAAGCTCTTGGCAAGTGATGTAATGGGGCTGCTCTTAAAGGACGACCGGCTCTTCCTACCTCCACGATACTCCCACACAAACCTTCACAAGAACCTTCTGATTCACTTGTAAAATTAATGGGAAACAGGGTGGGAGGGCTGCGCCAGCTCCCCCGCACTGCCTGGCACAACCTGGGGACTGGGAAAGAGCACAGCAGCGGGCGAGAGCACTGTGAGAGCAGCTTGGAGCTGGAGGGAAAGAAAAACCAAATGGAAACGGCTGCTGCCCACAGCTCCAGAGAAGTGTCAAAAAATACATACTCAGAGAAAAAACCAAACACACTCACACCCCTCCTGCAGCCTGGGGCACTGGAGAAAAGCAGAGCATCCCCTTAAATCTGCGGGCAGCTACTGCAGCAGGGCAGGAGTCCTCCCAGCAACCTGGCAGGTTTGCAGCGACAGGTTATGAATCACAGCTTGTTACAGCCTCTCAGCACCTCGGTTTCTCAGCAAAGGCACAGGGAAGCTGGGCTGGGCTCTGGACAACACTTCCCAGATAAATGTGACGAAACGCACTGTGACAATTGCAGCAAGCCAAAAGACATTATTTCTTCCTCGGTTCCTCTGCAAGCAGTCAAATTTCCCCCACGGAGAGAAAAGCAATAGCAGACACTCTCTGGAGACCCAACACAGCTGCCAACAGGGTGCTGCGGGGGCTGAATAACCTTCTCATGCCTGAGTGCTGACACAGCAGCACGGGGAGGGCAGCCCCCGCTCGGAGACCTGCGGCTTCGCTCCCAGAGTGAAGAAAAGGCCCATTGTTGTGGTTCCCCTGTTGAGCTGCCACAGTTTGTGCTTCAAATGCTGAGCAGAGCGCAGTGGGATGAGCCGGGGAGGTGGGTGCGGAAGAGCCAGCAGCAAGGGCTGCTCTGGGTGGTGGGTTTGGGGACAGCAATCGTTCCCTTCAATTCACATGCCCTGTTCTGGGGTTTGGAAAAAAACCAAGCCTTGACAATACTGTAAAATGGAGAGAAGTTACATAAATCACTGAGAGGGAGAATAGGGAGCATTGCTTTCCAGCTTCCACATCAGTGGTGAGACGATACGGTAGCACTCCTCTAGAAACTCTGTTTTCAGAGCCATTTTCCAATGTGCAAAATACTTCTCCTTGCAGAAGACACTGCAACGTCCTACAAATTATGCCACCGAGGCAGCAAGCTGACTAGTGGGCCTAAAACAGAAAACATTCACCCACTGCAGAGAAAAGGCAGCAGGGGGGACCTGACAGCCATCAGATTCAGAGGCAGAACTGGAGCTTTCATTCAGAACAGAATGCACTTGGCTGTCAGCTGCCCTGCGGATGCTCAGCTCACACAGGGATGCTCAGGTTGCTGCTCTTTAACCCAACTCTCAGAGTGCCTGCAGCCACTCCACACACCAGCCGTCGGGGACTCTCCCTGTCTGCTAATCCACATTTGCTCAGCTACTTGGGATCCTTCCTACACCAAAACAACTCTTTTCCATTTTCACACCAAGCAAGGATCCTGTGAAAAAGAGACGACGGGCAAAAATTATCTTTGCTCTAAGGATGATGGGAAAACCACCTCTAACACACAGACCCAGCAGTTTCAATGGGTGAGAAGCACACGCTCTCAGACCCTAACCAACCCCCTCCATCACGCACAGACTCCACTGCTTCTTCAGTCAGATGTTTCGTGACAAAGGTTAAATGCTGCTGTGGTGAGAAACAAAACCGCTGCCCTGCTGCTCCCACAGAGAAAAGTGGGGCAATGCAAATAGCACAGGAAGAGCTGCATGGCTTCAAGGCACTCATCTCACAGAGGAGCGGCCAGAGCAAAGTGAGATGCACGGCGTGGTTCAGGCCTCAAGGTCTCACGGTAAGAGTCACTTCCTCTGCAGACACACAGTTACAATTCAAGCTGCAAGATCTATTATTTATAAGCAGCACACAGGAAAGTAGCATTCTCCGGACACAGAGTGCATTCATTTTCATAACTGTATTTCAGTTCTTGCAGGGAATGTGAAGGCATTCAAAAGGAGGAAGGATGCTCTGAGTCTGCACTGGGAGGCAGTCCTGAACGTGGGACAAGTTTCCTTCCAGCGTTAAGCAAGAGGGTTTTACTTTCTCACTGACTTTTCCCCAAGTGAGGAAGCTTCTTGCTGGATGCCCCGCTGCCCACGCAGGAGGCACGCAATACAAACCTGTCTCATAAAACCTGCCAAAGGCTGGTGAGGACAGCCACAGTCCCCAGATTTTCCCATACTAAGTCCAGCAGAACAAATAGAGAAATGCTTCAAGTTCTTCAATTGGAAGTAAATACACACACAGTTGTCTCTCACTGCTGCCACCCCTCCACCTCTCCGCTGGGAGGAAACTGATGCTATCTCACACCCGCTCACCCCTGCAGCAAACGCAGGCGTAGCCACAAGAACTGGCTCTGATGAACCCTCCTTGCTCCTCTGCAATTACAAACATGACCCACTTCTCCCTGGGAACAATACCTCAGCATTGGTGCACACTGCCAAGTGTCCTCCGAGGGCACGGAGAGGACTGCACAGCTCCAAGAGCTTTTTTCACACTCTGATTACTTCTCGCTCTGTAAAGCTGGGCCTTTTACAAGGAGAAACTGGAGCATGAAGGGAACACACCCCGTTTGTTACAGCAGACCTATCATCACCTCCAGCCCAGAGCTCCCAGGCACTGGGTGCATCCCATCAGCAGCCCCAGGCAGATGGGGCTGCAGGGAATGAGGGGAAACAGCCCTGCACAGAAAGCCATCCCATTATCACTGACACCTTGCCTAACCATCAGCTTCCAATGGCTCCAGAGGCCTTGGACTGGAACTTTGCACAAGGTCAGGCTCCAGCTCCACTGGATAAGCAAAAGCAACTCTGAAAAGCAAAAGCAGAGCTGCTTTGGAGGCCTCAGCAACGTAAGTCCTGATGGCCTAATTGCAGGATGCAAGGTAGCTCTCTTCAATCTCTGAAACAGTTTCTGAAGGAAGTGATTTCCCCAGGGCACGCGGCCTGGCCCACGCAGGCACAAGGAGCCCTGCGCTCCCATCACTGCTCCAGGCTGTGTGCTGCTGTGCTCCCGGGAGATGAGAAAACAGCTGAGAGCTGAGGACTCCCACCTGACCCAACACGCAACGCCTGCGTTAGTTCTGCTGTTGCAATCCTCTCAAGGCTGCAGGAACGGCACTGCAGAGCAACAGCACCTCTCTGGGAAGGCAGAGAAGAAGAAATTGCTACTGCTGGGACAGCATCAGAAAGGAAGCAGTAGGGCTCAATTCATTATGGATGCTTTCCACAGCAAAAAATAAAAAACAAAATAAAATTAAACGGGACTGTTCTTCATTCTCAGGGAAGTCCTGTTCATTCTGCTCCTCACAAAGCACAGCACTACCGGGGATGATGGTCAGCAAACCCAACCGGGGGCTGAGCAACCTGCATGCAAGCACCCTGCATCCCCAGCTCTGAAGGTCAGCCCAGCACTGCAGCACGCAGCCAACCCCACTGCCGCGCCAGGGAAGGAAAGCGGGGAAGGACATTTTTCACACAAACCGCAGCTGATGCTGAGAAACGTGGCCTGATCCTTTGAGCACCTGCAAGAAATAATCCCCGGCCCCCTACCCGACCCCGTTACACAGCGCGGATAGAGCTCTCCCGTGCAACGGGACCCCCGGCCCTCCGGCGACGCTCTGCCCTGCAGGATGCTGCCCGGGGCGGGACCGCAATGCCCCCTCACGGCACGCGGCCCCGGGGGACGGATTCTTCCCACACAAACCACCCGAGCTCCCTAGAAGAACAGCACGCTTCTCTGCGAGCTCGGGATGGAGCCCTGCGGGGCGAGGAGCGGCCGCTCTGCGCAAGGAGGATTCGACCGCAGCGGGAGAGGCGCTCAGCCGCGCAACCCGCGGGGTTTAACCTCAGGGCAGGGCGTCGGAACGAGCCGCAGCCCCGGGAAAGGAGGACCGGAGCCCTCCCGCATCCCGCGGTACTGACCCGAAAGACGCGGCGGGCGGCGGCGCGGCGCAGCACGGTCCAACCCAGCGCGCACAGCCCGCACAGCAGCACTTCTCCCCAGCGCAGGTGCGCGTTCTCGGCCCACGTCCTCCTCGACAGCTCCCAGCCGCAGTCCGCGCAGCCCCGCGCGGCCGCCACCAGGCTGCCGTATCCGCGCCGCAGCAGCTGCCCGTAGCCGGGCATGGGCTCGGAGCCCCGCATGGCGCTCAGCGTCGCTCGCCCATCGCCCCGCCGTGCCCGGCGGCACCGCGCAGGCTCCGCGCAGAGCGGGTCGGCCCGGCCCCCCCCCCGGCCCCCGCCGTTACCGGGCCATGGAGCCGCCCACGGGAGGAGCCTCCGCGCTCCGGCCGGTGCCTGCTAATGAGCGGCGGCTCATAGGGGGCCTGGCAGCGGGCTGAATGAAGCTACGCTGAAATTTCTAACGCGGAAAGCGACGCGATCGCTCTCTCCAACGATGGCCCCCACAGCGGGCACGGCGACAGCGAGACCCGCCGGCAAAAACACCGGGATTTCAGATGGCACCTCGTGACGGGGCGGCGGGAGCAGCTGTGCCCTGCAGGATGCCGTCAGCAGCCCGGCGACGCCACCCTGCAGAGCCCTCCGCGTTCAACATCCTCACGTCCACTCCTTATTATTATTCTGTAAACGATTCTCCGCGCTTCCCTCTGTTCCACCGGTCTCGCAAAAGCCTCGCACAGCAGGAATTTGTCCTCTTTCTCCTCTCCTCGCTCGTTCCCACCACCCCGTCACGGTTACAACAGGTGCCGAAGTTCGGCCACGGATCAAAAAGGCTGTGGGGTAAGGAGATGCACCTGGAGAAATGCAAACCCTGCCTCGGGGCCAGCCCTTATGCCAGCCCTTACCGAGCACCTCCTCCCGAGTTGGGCAGCCTGCGTTCCAGCACACACTGCTGTTCATACAGCAGAAATCTCATCAACAAGGAGCTCACAATTAACAGCAGTCAAATCGATCGCCATCCACAGCTCAAACGTTTGCTTTGCAAGGTTTAAGACGAAGGTTCTCCTGAAATGCTGACACAAATTCTCTCCTTGCTGAGGCAGCACAGGAACCTCAGAGCAATGCATTGGAGCAGCACAGCTGTGCTGTGCATCAGCCACGGAGCAGCAATTGGTGCCCAATGCACCTCAATGACAACCTCAAGTGCAGCAGTAAGGCTCCCTGTTAGCAGAGACAGACAAATGATCACTCATAAAGAGAAAACCCATCTGTGGAATTGTAAGTTGAAGAAATAGGAGTTTTAAGCCATCTGAAAGTCCCACCGCCGACTCATTCTGCCTTCAAGTTCTTTGGAACTTCTCTAATTGGTCCCAGGCAGCAAAGAGGAAACACAAACTCATTCCTCTCACAGGTTTGAACAACACGTTCCCCTATTCTCACACTGACAGGTTTGGCTCCTTCTCCGCCACTTGCTTTTATTGTTTACATTTTTAAGTCAATTTATCATGGCCCATCAAGTGGGCAATGGCTGCCCTGAGCACACAAGCCCCTTTCACATCTCGCTCAGACAGCTCCACAAAGGAAACATTCATTCAAGACTGGACCACGAAAAACCCCTCACTGAAAAGAGCTGCTTGCTAAACAAGCCAAGGCAAGAGACAATGAGCTCTTTCAGAGCAATGGCTGCGAGGTGGGCACAAAGGAAACGCCATTCAGACCGTTTGCAGTGTAGCATAAACCCCCTCTTCTCCCTCTCCCGAAAACGTTTTCCAAAAGATAATTCAGAAGATAAATCAAACATTGCAGCTCAGGAGGCCCCGCTGAGGGTTCCGGACGGACATCTGCTCCTCGTATCTCGACACAAAAGGCAGCCTGAAATGCTGCACAGGAGTCCAAGGCATAAAACCACACAGTGCTCTGTTCCTCATGTCCATTACGTGTCAGGTGCACCAACCACCACGTTCTCAGGAACGGCTGGGGGCAAACACTTCCCCAGTACTGCAGGATGCACTTCGTTAAAGAAAAACCTAATGCTTTCCTGGCTGCAGGACACGAGATGTTGCATTTATCAACTTAAGATCAGGGCTGAGCCTGTTACGATTGGATTATTTCTATTCTGGGGAAGCTTTCCCTCTCACCAGCAGTAACCCCTACAGCTGTGCATCCTTCTTCCAGAGGATGTTAACCTAAAAGGAGCCACCACCAAACCGAAAGAACAGCCGTAACTCGGGATTCACCCTGCACTGAAATCTGAGACTTCATGCTCTCCCCATAGGGATTCCACCCTCAGCACAACAGGGCTCAGTCCCACAACGGAATTAACTTGAGTCTCGGGGTGTAAATTAAGGGGCACACAGAGCCAGAAAAGGCTTTATTAGGAATGTTTAAGGTACAGTGTTGCAAACTTGATTCGCGCTGTGTTTTAAACAGAGTTGAAAACCCCAGAAGCCAGAAGAGGCTTTTTGGCTCCCAGGTTAGAGCAGCTACACATTATATACAAACTCAGCAACGGTTTCCTGGATTGCAGACCCTGCCACGCTGAGTTAAGCCAGACCCACTTGCAAAGGGCATTTTTCCATGTTACCAGAAGGGTTCTGAGGAACCAACCCTGCTTCCCAGGTACCACAGAGCAGATCTGCTGCCCCGTTCCTCCTCAGGCGCTGGGGGCATACTGCATGGCGAGTCGCTCAAAGTCATTCTCCTTCAAAGCAGAAACAAAACGAACACATTTCAAACCCTGCAGCAATTCACCAAGGCAAAATGAACTCTAAAAAGCAAACTGCCTGGGTCTGCTCTCAATCATTTCCATTTGTTTCTTTCTTCTTTCTCCATTACCTCCCTCTGCCCGTCCCCTGAATTCTCTCTCATCCAGAAGATTTCCCCCATTTAAGCACAGCGTCCCACGCTAACAAACAAGTTTGTAATCTGGGTCAGATGGACCTCAAAGCATTTCTTTCCAGATGTACCCCACATTCAGTTACGTTTTGTTCATATACTTGGCATAAATACACTCAACCTGGACGCTGGGTATTTCCCAACATCTCACAAGGGCCAGAAAATCTGCTGGCAGTGGTGAGATGCTGAAGAAATGGATCTGCCTGTTTAGAACTGTAGTCATGCTCACAGCAAGTCATCCCCCCGCCCCATCTTGCTGGTGTAAGTCATTACAAACTCAGTTTCATATTGGAAAATAGCCAGTACCTTTGCCTGATACTCCTTTATGAACGGATGATTCTTATGTGCATCCTTCAGCTGTGACAAATAACGGTTTGTAACCTGATGGGAGGAAAAAGGGAAATTTAAATACTGGAAGAACACGAAGAAAAGCCAGAAAGTTTAAAACAATACTTCTATGACTTTGTTCTCAATGAGCAAAGAGCTGAGTTCTTCAGCACTTTGAAAATTAGCAGCCCCATTTAAAAGCAGTAAGACCTTCCATAGCAGATTTAACAAACAGAGAAAACCAAGCTCAGAACTTGGAGATTTCCTTCTCCACCCAGGCTCTCCTCTAAGCACACACCACTGCCTACAACAGCTGCGTTCCCAGACTTTATTGAATACTGAATTTCCCCCATGCCCCAAAACTCCACAACTATTTTGTTTTGTTAACTCTAATCCCGATGAGAACACAGGGCTGCTGAAGTTCTCACCCACAGCAGGAGCACACAGCCTGTCCCCAGGCCGAGCTGCTTCTCGAGTACCATAAAATAAGCCTCACCTCTGGTGGTTTGCCCAGGTGTTGTGACAGGACAACGAAGTTGATCAAGGTCTCAGGATGGCTGCTGTCCTGGAAACAAAAAGTCACTTCTTTGTGACTTACCCTTCCACGGCCAAGGGTAACAACTGGCAGCGAACTGACAAGCCCACAGCTCACTTTACTGAACAGGCAAAGTAGAAGAAAAGGCAGTTGTTAACAGCAAACCACTCTTAGGAACATTTTCACAAAGCACAGTGGTGAAGCTCCTTGCTGTTCTGTTTGCTGTGCCTAAGAGATATTCAGATTCAGGCTAATCTGCCTGAAACCAGCAAGTACCTTGTCCAGTGCCTCCTGCAGCGCTCCCTCTGCGTCATCCCACTTGCCCTGAGCCATGTAGCAGGCTGCCTGCCCGTTAAGCAGGAGCAGAGTGGAGGAGCATTTGTCTGCCATCTCTTGGAAGATGTAATAGGCATCTTGCAACTTCTCACCGCCCTGCAAAAGGACACAGGCATGCAGTTTCACCGTGCATTGTCAAGAAGGCTGTGTGTTCTTTCTGTGGTTGAAGAAAGGGGCCACGAAGTTCATGTGAAGGGTTATAAAATGAAATGAGCTGCCGTCATTCACGTGATCTCCTCTCACATGGGAGATCACTGTAAGACTACAGATGAAAGAAACACAAAAGCATTCAATACTAAGAAGCACTTAAATGATCAAAAGATCAAGGTTCTCATTCAAAGAGAAAGAAAACCATTTCAAAAGAACCACTTCAGAGCACTGATTTCATGTCTGGAAGAACATCATAATAACGTAATAAAAGATCATGAAATGAGATTTCATAATTAAACCCAGGTACAGGCACCTGGCTTTTCAAAATGTCCCAGCTTCAGAGAGCTTCTAGATGCAGCAGCTTGCACTGAGCAGAGGGTGAGTTTCCCTAGGGAAAAATGGGATCTGAAAGAAAACTCAGCCTCATGCTTTTGTAGGGGCACAGAGATGTACAAGAATTTAATAACAAGACAAAATGAACACTAAAAAACTCTTAATAGCACTGTAACAGGTTACTGCATGCATACCTCAGAATTTACTGAATTTCAGGAGACTGTTTGGTTTCAAACACCTGACATCCAGGCTACCAGCCGTATGTTGTTGGTTGACTGTTTGAAACTCTTGATTACAATACAGTTTCTTGCCAACCAGTTGCAGGCACCAAAAGGTTTAATGAGATTTGGTAACTGGGCAAAAGGCCGATTTCTATCTCTGCAGAGACAGATTTCCTTGAATGGGAGGGCTGATTAAGAGCATTTTATTACACTGAGTTTAGGTAGCACTGTCCTGTTACACGTGGGATTTGCTTTGAAACAACAACAACAAAAAAACCTGCATGCTTTTCTGAAAGCATGATGTGAAAACAGGGATCACAAAGAAGGCACAGAGTCTTGTCTGAGTGCTGTTTCTCAGATGCTGTAGGCCAGGGATACTCACTATAGCCAGGTTCACCCAGGCAGTAGCCAGCTGAGTGAGGGTCGCATCTTCATCTTGCTCCTGCATCTTCTTAAGCTCCTTGCTGCAGATGCAAAAGTGGGAGTTGCATAAAAGGAACACAACTGTCTCACAGTTCCCTAAGACACAAACAGAAAGCTGTAGTCTTCTTTGTCAAGCTCTTTCACCTCCATAGCAAAACAGCCAGATCAAACTGCTCACGAGGCATAATTACCTCCTCATGTTTTACCAAGACAAGCTGTGAAAGAGCTGTTTTACTTCTGTAAGGGAAGGAAGAAACCCAGGCCCAGAGATTCAAAGCACTTTATGCTCACTATTCAGAAACAACAGACACAAACTTACTCACCGAGCCAGATCAAGTCTGTCAAGCTTTAGAAGAATCTGGATCATCATCGCCATGCTGCAACAAAAGCAAATCAACTCTAGTGATGGCATGTTTTATCATTGCTTGTGCTTTGTTAGGAGCCTGCTGTGTAACAGGGTGCACTACTGTGCCAGGGCCAAGGCACGAGGCAGCCAACAAAGCTGGCAGTGCTCACAGCAGGGCTCAGAGCAGGGCAGCATGCTTCCAGCTGCTCTCCTGCTGTACAGCCATAGCACTCACTTCAGCAATTCTGAATACACACAGATCAATGAACCAGATTCTTAAGTTTCACAAGGGAGCAATAGATTCGATATTGTAGGCTGTGCACCGTATCACTCACAACTTCAAAGGCAAACCTCTAAACAGTGTCTCAATGGTTTCAAGGCTCGTCTGAGACAAGCCAAACCTTGGACATTTCTATTACCACTCTCCCTAGGTAAGAGACTTTGCTAACACACTCCTCAGAGATGCCAGATCAAGTTACACTTACCATTCCAAACTCTCCCCTTGATGTAGAGTTCGTAGAGCTGCATCAGGATTTTTGTCATGGAAATAGATTGAAGCAGCCATCAGCAAGAAAGTGGTATTGGCCACATCAACACTTTTTGCCATTTTTTTGTCCAAATCAGCAACAATCGCATCTCTGTAACAGCGTAGGTGAGAATACAGAGATGTTTTAAATACCTTGCCATCAGAAAATCTACCTTTTTGTGGCAAAACTGCAGCCACACGTAATAAAAACCACACTTCTACAAACTTCCCACATAGAAACACATTCCCTGTCAGACAAAGTTTGATTTCCAGCTTATTATCAGGTTTACCTTTGACTCTCATTTGAAAGATATTCTGCAAACATCCGCACTGCTTGGAGCTCGGGACTGGCATTAGCTTTAATTTCATCCAGTACCACACCATATTTTCTCTATTGAAGAAAGAAAACCTAGAATTATCACCCAGTTGTGTAACTGCACTCAGATTCACAGCCTGCCCAACTGCAGCCCCGCAGTCAGATTATTCTGCTGCAAATCCAGCCTCTGCAGACTCACCTGGGCAATGTAGGCTCTGAACAAGAAAACGTCCCTCTCCGCTTCCTTCTCAGGGCTGGACGGCTGAAAAGAGGACAAGAAACAAGAACTCAACACCCGTCCATCAAAACCCAACAGGAGGCAGCCAGGACACACACGAAATCTCCCTTTCGAAAACAGCCCAAGCCGTGAGGGGCGAGGCCGAAGGGCGCTCGGGGAGTCCGCGCCGCCAGCACCCGGTGCGGCTGAGAGGGGGCAGCCCCACGGAGAGGCACCGACCCCGGGCCGAGGCACATCCTGAGCCCCCTCCGAGCCGCCCCTACCTTGATCCTCTGCGCCTCGTTGATGGCGGCCTGGTAAGCCCCAATATAGAAGCTGTTCTTCACGTCAAAAAGCTCATCCGCCTCGCCGCCCTGCCCGGCGGGACCCGCGCCCGCCCCGGCCGCCATTTCCCCGTTCCAGACACGTCTCCGGAAGCGGCTGAGCCCCGAGGGCTGCCGGGAGCCGCCGTCTCCATGGAGATATCAGCCGCAGCCAATAGCCACGCGAGGAGGATGTGACGTCACCAGGGCGCCGGAAGCAGCTGCCGGACAAGGCGGGCTGGACGGGGCCAGCAGGAGGCAGCCAATGAGAGCGCGAAAGCGGCCGGAAGTCACTGGGGTTGAGTGAGCAGCGGCATGGCTGCGTTCAGGGAGCTGGGATTGGCTCCGTGGCTGGTGGAGCAGGCGCGGCAGATGGGGCTGAGCCGGCCTACGCCCGTGCAGGCCTCCTGCATCCCGCCAATACTGCAGGGTGAGTGCGGTCCCTTGGTCCCCCGCCGTTCCGCGTCGTTCCCGTCGTTCACGTTCTTCACCCTAACCCCGCTCCCACTTAGGCCGTGACTGCCTCGGCTGCGCCAAGACGGGTAGCGGGAAGACGGCAGCTTTCGTGCTGCCGGTGTTGCAGGTGCTCTCCGAAGATCCCTATGGCATTTTCTGCCTGGTGCTAACGCCCACCAGGTATGGAGCAGCCCCGGAGTCCCCTGCCTGACGTCCGGTGTCCCCACTTCCCCCGCTTAGCCCTACCCTCCTTGCAGGGAGCTGGCCTACCAGATCGCAGAGCAGTTCCGTGTGCTGGGGAAGCCGCTGGGCCTGAAGGACTGCGTGGTGGTGGGCGGCCTGGGTGAGTGGCACTGAGACACCAACATGGGCAGGCTGGGGACGAGCAGAATGGCCAGCGTGCTTCTCCGTGCTGATGTGTCCACGGTGTTCCTCTTTGAGGCTGGTGGAAGTCAGAGCGATGTTTTCCAGCCACGCACACTGTATGCTTATAGGGTTCAATCTCCTGTAACATGGCTGCATGTTTCTCACTGCAGACATGGTGGCACAGGCCCTGGAGCTCTCCCGCAAACCCCACGTTGTCATCGCGACGCCTGGCAGGCTGGCAGATCATCTTCGCAGTTCCAACACTTTCAGCCTTAAAAAGCTCAAATTCTTGGTAGGGCAGATTTTTCACTCTTTTAAAATATCCTTCCCCGCTTTTTAAGGCTTTTGGTTTTGTAAGAACACTTGCAGATGATCTCATCTATTTGTGGCTGTGTCGAGGTGTTGGATGAAGCTGACCGGTTGTTGGAGCAGGGCTGTGCTGACTTCACGGCAGACCTAGAGGTGATTCTGGAGGCTGTTCCAGCACGCAGGCAGACGCTGCTGTTCAGCGCCACGCTGACCGATACGCTGAATGAGCTGAAGAGCCTGGCCATGAACAGACCTTTCTTCTGGGAGGCTGCATCCGAGTACGTGCGTCTCTGCTCTGCCACACGTGGGATCCTGCTTTTTCTCTGTTCTCTTCTTACTGTCTCTTACATCTCTTGTGTTCCATTTTCTCTTGCCAAAGCTGTGGATTTTAGTGCTTTATTGTCCCTTCCCAACAGGGTGCGGACAGTAGATGAACTGGACCAGCGTTACTTGCTTGTACCCGAAGCAGTTAAGGATGCATACCTTGTCCATTTAATCCAGACCTTCCAGGATGAGCATGAAGACTGGTCTATCATTATTTTTACCAAAACCTGCAAGTAAGTGGAATTTTTCCTAGTGATGGCTTTTACTGTAGAGGTGCTTTTGTGATTCTAATTCAGATTCCAAATTCCTACTGTACTGCTCTTAAGCTATGCTGATGTTTGCTTTCTCAATCTGTACTGCAATTTGGTAGAAGAGCACCTTTTTTTGAGCAGCCTGGGACTGCAGGGCCACTCAGAAATGTAGCACGCTGGAAGGTCAAGCTACTTTTACTTCCCTGCAGCCACCTTTCCTTTTGCTGATGGATACTGGAAAATGGTGGGGAAGAGTCTGCTGTCCTGTGCTATTCATTCCTTCAGGTTGCTGACATTGCTGGGGACTGAGACGTGGTGCTGGTGACATTCCCCTGGGTGCAAGTGGGAATCCAGTCACCCTCTCAGGGTTGAGCGAGTGAGGTGTGGGTGTCCCGTTCCCTGCTCTGTCACGGTGCTTCAGTAACTAAGCACACTGTAGTAGCTGTACTGTGAGGGCTTCCAGAGGAATCCCAGCTCTGTCTTGATCGGTCAGCTTTCTGTTTGCCTGGTGTATTTTGATTTTTTTAATTGTGTTTTTTTTCCTTTCAAGGGAATGTCAAATCCTGAATATGATGCTTAGAAAGTTCAGTTTTCCTTCTGTAGCTCTGCATTCCATGATGAAACAGGTGAGTGATGGGACAAGTGTGGGAGGTGGGTGCTTCTAGCTGGATCCCTGAGCCAAACAGCTCTCTGGGTCAGCTGCTGTGGGTCACAACATCCCTAATCCAGGATTCTCCTTTTCCAGCGGCAACGATTTGCAGCTTTAGCAAAGTTCAAATCCAGCATCTTTAAGATTCTTATTGCTACAGATGTTGCTGCCAGGTAAGAGGAAACTGCAGTCTCTGTTGCAAAGGCCTTGACCCTGCTTTTAAAGCATCAGAATTACTGTAGAGATTAAGGTGAGTTTAACAAGAGAGCTTTAAACTCTGCCCGTGGAGGTAGGACAGGATTGTTCATTTACCATTACAGAATATGTCTAAGCTGTGTTTTGGGGCCTGTTTTAGGTAATGTAGTTATGATCCTGTCTTCTTGTACTGCCTCAGGTGTGTGTATTCTTGCAGGACAGTGATTTCTACAGAGCTTAGTTTGTTCTCTTGATCCAGGAGAGAATATCAGGTGACATGTATGGCAGGTCCTCCCGTTCTATGATTGTTGGAGAGTTGCATGATATGAGAATTTGTCCTAGAATAGCTGCAGCTTATTAATAAACACTCTGTTTATGAGAACATTAGGCTCTTGGACAAAGCAAAGATCAGGAACTTAGATTTTATATTTAAGTTTATCAGCTTCTGTTCTCTCTCCCTGCATTGCAGAGGCTTGGACATTCCTACTGTACAAGTTGTCATCAACCACAACACTCCAGGCCTGCCAAAAATCTACATTCACCGGGTTGGCCGGACAGCCCGTGCAGGTGAGTGGGGCAAACTGCACCCCTTGCAGCAGTGCTGCACTTGGCTAAAACTGGGATCTCAGTACCCCGAATGAGTGTGAGAAACCTTCACAGCAGCTGCAGTACAGTCTTCTCAGTCAATGCCAAGTCTGCTCAGATTGCTGGCTCAGCATCGTGCCTTCAGATTGCAAGGATAGCTGATCTTGTGTCTGATCTGCACCAATACTTAACTGCTTTCTCAGAGCAAATAAAGACCCTTTAGAGCATCCTGTCACCACAATGTGCTAGGTTGACTCATGGAGATGGATGGAATTTGGCATGGTTTAGGCCTCCTTTCCCTCTGCTTGTCAGGATTCGTGTGTCACTGCGTTTTCATCATGCAGGTCGGAACGGAATCTCTATTACAATGGTGACACAGTATGACATCCATCTTGTGCACGCTATCGAGGAGGAGATCAGTAAGTGGGGAACATTAATACTGCTAAGGTGTAGAATTGTTTTTGTGGCTGTGGTACTTGCAGCCTGGATTTTATCTACCAGGATGTGTGGTTCAGAAGAGCAGCATAAAAATGGTTTCTCTTTCCTGTGCAGCCAAAGATCAGAAAGGAATAGGAGTTCTTGAACCTCCATCAGTTTTGTTCTTGCTGTTTCTAGTGGAGGAGAAACTGCCTGTCAAACATATTTTGTAGCCTTTTTATTAAAGCAGACAGCTTTTTTTTCTTACTTCCTTGCTGCTGTCTATGCTGAGGTGAATGAAAAGAGCACAGACTTCATCCTTTATTAAAGGAAATAGGCCCAATAAAGGCAACATATTTTACTACAGGAATTGCAGAAGGGAGGATGTAATCCTTTGCTGTGGGCCTGCAGAAGTGACAGTGGTCATAACTTATGACAACAAGTCTACTCGTAGTCAGTGGAACTATGTAGGTTACTTATTAGTTGAGAACCTGCCTCTGGATTTCATAACCAGCCATGTGTGTAAATGTCTCATCCTAATTTAGAACTGAAGCTGCAGGAGTTTTCTGTGGAAGAGAAACTGGTGCTTGACATCCTTAACCATGTGAATGTTACAAGGAGGGAGTGTGAAATAGTAAGTGTGCAAACATGAAGCTCCTTTGTTCAGAGGACAGGAAATCTTAGGCAGCCAAGAGATTTGCTGGTGACTAATACCAGGTTCTGTATATGCAGTTTTCTTTTAAGCACATAATTCCGAGTTTTTGTTCCTTCTTCTAGTGGAAGCACTTCACTATTTGCCATAGTGGGGGTTTTGTTTGATTTAGCTTCCCTAAGTTCTATTACTGCACACTTGGAGCAGTTAAGTGCTGCTGAGTGCTGGGGCTGGAGGCTGGTAGCCGGGGGAAGGCCTGCAAGCTACCAAATGTGCCACGCTGCTGAGATTCTGCTGAGTGAAGCAGGACTGCTTTTCTCTGTGTCAACTCAGTGCTTGGATACTGATTGCTCTGCTGTATTTTTTCTTTGGTAGGAACTGGAGTACATGGATTTTGACGAGAAGAAGGAAATAAATAAGCGGAAACAAATGATCCTTGAAGGAAAGGTGAGAGTTGCTGCTATGTAAACAGTTTTGATTGGTAGCTGGTATAATGCTCGTGACATGGAAAAGAAATGACAGTTCCTGCCTCGCTGCTGTGATCTGCCTCTCCCCTCCTCTTTGGGGTGGTGAAGTTTACCTTAAAGGACAACTGGTATTGAAAAATGTGTTGGAACAGTGTCTGACTTCAGCAACCCTCTCAGCCGTGCGTTTGAAAGCAGAGTGGGCATCTAGCAAAGGCAAGGAACTGCACTGTCCAGTGCATATCACTAAGTGTCCTGGCATTTGCCGTTGCAGGATCCAGATCTGGAGGAAAAAAGGAAGGCAGAGCTGGCCAAGATCAAGAAGAAAAACAATAAATTCCGTGAGAAGGTCCAGCAGACACTGCAGGAAAAAAAGCAACTGCAGGTGAAGAGGAAACTACAGAAGAAAATGGAGCGGCGGAACAAACTGCAGGCTAAGGAAGAGAAATAACATCCTTGGCCTCCCATTGATGGAGGAAGTGTGGGAGCTCTGCTGGTTGGCTCAGACTGCCCTGGTGTTGCTGCTGCTTTGGGAATACTGGGATCCAAGAATTTTTATGTGAACACTTTGACCTGAAACCAGTATTGGAGAGTGTGGGGAAGGTGGATGAGGGGAGAAGGGACACTGATGAACTGTCCCCATTACTTTTCCTCTCTGTGTAGTGCTGCTGGCTTGGGCCCTTCCTGACAGGCTCGGTCAATCTCCTGAAAGAAAGTCTTTTCAAGAGTGTGTTTCCTTCCTCTGGTAAAGGAGAGGCCAGACCAGAATTCCTGGTGATACAAAGGGAAATAAAGATCCTCTCTCTCTTCCCCTTCATTCAGTCAGTTTAATTTCCCTTTCGTGGGCTGGTGCTTGCCACTCACAGTTGTTTATATCAACAGATTCTCCCCTGAGCCAGAGTCTAAAAATAAATTGACAGGATGAGCTCAGCCTGTGTGTGTACCATAGTCCAGGTTTTTCTGAGAGGAAAACTCCTAGAACACATGGAGAGGTTGTATTGTGTGGCTGGTCCTGGGGAAACCTCACCATAATTCTGCTTTATGTTGAAGTGGCACTCTTGCCTCTGATTGTCTGCTCCATGGGGATAGCAGAGCTGCAGCTCGCTCAGTGACCTGGGCTTCCAGGACTCCTGTTTCTGCAGATGATCAGTTCAAAGCTCTGCTCAGGTTTCACCCTTAGTGCCTTCTTTAATGTTCAGAACTTCCTCTAATTTGAGACTGAAGAACTGTAGTTTCTATCCTCTGGCTTACAAAAATAATTTCTCTGGTCAGCATCCAAATAAATAGTTCTGCAACAAGCAACTGGACAGCTGACCTTCAACACGTGCAAGTATTGTTGTGGGAGCTCACAGGAGGGGTGAAGTACCTTTTGTGGTAAGTGGTTTGGAGATAAAAATCAGTCTTACTTCAACAGGCTGGATGAGTACTGAGCTTCTTGTAGGTGTTCAAGTCTTCAGTCCCTTTGTGCAATCTGAGCCCAGCTCCTTTTCTGGAAGCATGCAGACCCCTAGGGTGCTTTTACCTGACTTGAATGTAGGCTGCACACAGTGAGGTCTTGCAGAGGAAATCTGGTATTTCCTTGAAGAAAACTCCCACAGCCACGCACAGCAGAGCCCCACGGTGCATTCATTGCATGCAGGAGCACAGCATTGACTGAGACTTGAGAGGTACGCATCCACCTGTGTGCCTTGTGGCTGGTGTGGGATGAGATGGGTGTGGTACTCGAGTTAGGAGATGCCTGAACTGCATTACTGGCTTTGTCCCCTTGGGTGCCCTCCAGGAAGGAAAAAGCACTCAATAGTCTGCCTTGTATCAGCTCACTGTCACTCCTGGCAGCTGCTGCAGTAGCAGCAGCAAATAGGTTTGTATCAGACTGATGCTTTCTGAATACTAAATGCTGCTACAGCCTCGTGCATGCTAATTTGTGGAGCAAGCCTATTAGCTGCAGATTAAAGAGACATCCTCTCTGGGACAGGCTGCTCTTGCCTTCCTGGAGAGGGTGGTGATACTGCTTTTGAGTGTCAGTAGCTCCCCTCCTCCTCTTGCAAACCCTTCTTAACCTATCTGAAGTCTCTTTGCTTCAGCCTGGTGGGGGGTTTCTCTGTTCATCTCCTTCCAGCAGAATGTGACATGTGGAGTTTGATCAAGGCTCTTGTCTTAAAGCTTTATTCAAAATTCCTTTTAATACATCTCTTGTCTTTCTTGAGCAGCCTTCTCTGTGAAGGTAAGATGTGCTGGCAGTAAGAGCTCTCTGTAGCGCTGCCTAGATGTTCTTGCTGCAGTCAATCTTGGGAGTGGCCAAGTAGAAAAAGAGATTGCTGTGTCAACTGGGATGTAGAAAGAAGCCTTAAATTCCCACTGTAATTTACGTCTGCCCAGGGCTAAAGGACATTGGGTGACAGTGACATTCCTGCATGTGCTATCATTACTGCCCTCCAAGGATATTTTGTTCTGAGGTTTCCAATCATCATCATAAGCCTTTGGGATCCCCCTCTCGGGAGCGGGGTCTTATATATAATGACCTGCTTCTCTTAACAGGCTAGATTGTTTCTTGGCTGTAATTCTGCCCTCCTTTGTAGACAGATCCCCTCACCTGTTCCCCCAAGGAGGCACTTGCTACACTTCTCTCTGCAAGTGCTGTGCAAGAATTGGCCGTGGAACGGCTGTGTCTCAGCACAGCTCCCCAACTCGGGGAGGGTTTCCCTGGCTGAGTTGCTATGGAAACCCTTTTCGATTCAGCATCTCAGATTCTGCCTTCTCTCACCCAGATCACGTTTGGATGCTGAACGTGGCAGTGGGGTGTGGGCCGTGCCAGGTGTGTGCAGTGGGACGGTCCTGCTCCTCTGCCATCCTGCCTTCTCCTCCTGTCTTGCCCAGGTGTAAAAAGCACGTACACCTCCAGCTCCTACCTTGTTCTGACAGTTCTGTGCAGCCTATACGCTGATGGGTCCATAGCCAACAATGGCTGTTTTGTGAGTGGTTTAGGAAGTATTTCTCTGCTCCTGGAATATCTGCCTCCCTTGGGGAGGATGTATGCGAGGAGTGCTTCCCAGAAGTTTTGCAGGGAGATGGGAAATGCCATCTCCTTTAAACAGCAATGCAGGGATCCTCCCAAAGTCAGATGTACAGTATTTGGTAGATGCTCCACAATGGCAGTTTTGCCAAACAAGGAAATGTGGATGTGGAGACAGGTGTAGGGATGCAGCAGTCACCTTCAGGAGCTGGCATTTCTTTCACATACAGATACTGCATTGAGCAGGAAAGCTCTGGACTTCTGTGGCAAAGCAAAGACTGTAATTAAAGAGACTTTGGGCTGAGCTTCAGATTTATCTCTGCTGAGACAGCAGAGCTGCATTGGAGTTTATTTCAGCTTTGCTGCTGCTGGCTGCAGGTGCAGCCATTTCCAGCTGCCAGCCAACACACTTCCCTCTGGCCAGAAACCCCCCATCTTTCTGATAGAAGATATATGCCACCCAGAGGCAGCATTAGCCTGATGCTGCAAGGCTCTGCCCAGCACTACTGATTCTCCTTCAGGCAGGACATGCTGCCCTTGCACTGGGCTGAACCACCTCATGCCTTTTAGGGGCTGCACTTGGTGCACCATCTCCATGAGCATTTAATGCAGCTGCACTTTCACGTGGGTTCTCTGAGCTGTCCTGACATCTCGCTGGTTCAGCGTACGCCGTCAGCTGCTGCTTTACCTTTGGATGTTCTTTGTGAACACAAGCTCAGCTGTTTTAAAAGCCTTTAAAAAAGCTGCTTAACAAGCTTTCCTACCAGAAACAGCCTTCTCCCGGGGGAGCCCTGCCAGGTTAGCCAGTAGATGGCAGCTTCTGTGCTCTGGACACGCTGCTGGCTCCGATCCTTGTTCAGAGGGAAACACAGCACAAGGCCTCTTGGCTGGGTAGCTGGATATTAAAGATTTAGTTTAAGAAAACATGGAGACAGTGAGGGAGCAGGGCTGCCCTGTGCCTGAGCCTTTGCTCGTGCAGCAGGCAGGCCCCAGCTGCCTGGTGCTGCTAGCAGGATTATCCTGGGTCAGTGCATCAAGCCTTGGCATTTTCCCTTTAGTTGCAGGGCAGGTCTGATCCTGTGTCCCTGCAACGCTCCATCACAGTTTCGGCATCCTCTCCATTCTAGGGCTCTTCTGCTAGACAGACCTTTGCAGTTTTTTCACTGAAATTCCAAACCCTCCCTTACTACCTACTGAGGGTAAGCACAGATTCCTGTTGTAGGATACTGAACTTCCCAGTGTCACTCTTGCACTCCCAGGCCCAAACATCATAAGCTGTACTGCTTTTAGACATAATAGACCACATGAGAGGTGGCATCAATGCCAACAATTTGTAGACTCAAACAGTGTTTTCATCTGCCCATAACAAGGTCAGGACTTTAGTATCTCCAACCAGTAAAGCTACAGGGAAATTACTTTTCTCACATGTGCCTTTTTCTGTCTGTTGTCTGACAGGATTTGAAACCCTGTTAGCTTGCTACTGCTGGAAACATAAGGCAGAGCCTAAGACAGCATCCTCTCTCACTTGCTGTTCTACCAGCACTTGGGAAAAATATGCCTGTAACAGCATAGAGAGAGTAGTGAGGCAGAGGGACTGCTCTGATCATTCTGGGGCACACAGGTATTACAAAAAAAAAAAATCTGCAAGGTGGGGTACTTCAGAAAGGGGTGAAAATTCACATTTGTGGCAGCCCATGCAAATCCCATAATAAATGGGATATGACCTATGAGAAAAGTGGCTCTAGGAACAGTCAGTGCTGCAGAGCCGTTCGCTCCACACCCCGGGGACAAAACTGATACCAGCCTCCCATTCCCTTCCACCCAGCAACTCCCTACAGCTGAAGTTGACAGCAGCATCTGAGGAAATTGAATTTGGTTTCTTTGATTCTCACTCCCCAGGCTTGTGCTTAGCTGGGGAGCTGAGAGGCTGTGAGCACTGAAACAGTTGTGAACTGACTGAAATGTGAAAATGTTGCTCCTTTAGATTACCTGTTGCTAGAGCTGACACATCTATTGTCTGGAGTGTTGTTCTTACGGTAAGTATCTCATTTCCAGAATGACTCCAGCTGCTGCTTTCTTGGTAGGGTGGTGGGAAGCTGATGGAGGAGGCAGAGATGATTAGTGCTGTAGCTCATGTTCTTTTCCCTTGGAGCAGAGACTGCCTTTACACACCACAATCTAATAACGATAATAATTATAAATTACTCTGGGAAAGGAGACTGTGAAGCTCACTAGAGTTTGGGGCTTTATTATGTGCTCATGGACATCTTCCAAAACACACATTTAATTGCCGTGCCTTCTCTGGTGCACACAAATTGTCTTCCAGTGCCTGCATGTGGAAGGAGTGGGGGATGCACTCACAGAGGATGCTTGCCTGTGCTGTCAAGTGTAAACAGAGAATCTCTGAACTAAAAATAACCTCCCCTCCAAGTAACAGACCATCTGATTTCTGTATCCCAGCCCAGATGCAGGGAGCTCAAAAGGGTTAGCTCACCTATTTTGGTGCTATTTGATCACCAACTCCCCCATGTCTGATCCTTTGGCAATTTAAGACAAAGTGCCCAGCTGCTTCCCCTCCAGCAAGAATTTGCTTCAGTGTGCTCTTAGAAAAATACAGGTATGGAAGTCAGTATGTTAAGAGCTTTGCTATGAGATTACCTAAAGCCACATCACACATCATCAAGGGGGCTGTATGGCATTATTTTGGAAAGATCTTACCTCCTTCATAATCACTCCCAGACTTAAGGTATTAATCAGCCCACCCTGCGCTGGCCTTTCCTTCCCTTGGCTTTTCAGGCACCTTGTAGATGCCAGTAATTGAGGTCCAACAGCCCTGTGGGAAGGTTGATTACTTTATGGAGCAGGAATGAAAGCCTGGAAAGACAAGGGAGGTTGCAGAGAGAGCTGGTGGTGGTCTGGCATCCTGACTGCCAGGCCTGCTCTTGCCCTGCACTGAACTTGCATTCCCATTCAGCCTGGGAGGTCTGCATCTGTCAGATGGAGTTTGCATTAGACATCCTTTTTCTGAGGCTCTATTATTGGCACGTCCTGTCATAGCAAAGCTTCGTTTCCTCTTGCAGAGCTGGCCAGAAAGGCCTTGTCTCAGGTCCACATTCAGAGCAGATCAGACTCACTGCTGTACTCCTCAGAACCTTGTGCCAGGACAATATGGCTGCAACATTTTTTGTTTGCATCTTCGTCTCATGTGAACCATTTTCCCCATGTTCTCTTCATTAACGTTCTGCCTAGGTTTTCCATAAATAATTAAGAACCTCATTTGCTAAAAGAATTAGGTCTCTCAAGGTACCTGCAATCAGTAGCATTTTTCCTCCAGCAAGGAAGCAACTGTTATTTAGTTCCTGACAGTAATTGTTACTGTGAGACAGAAGCAAACAAACTGCAGTCTTGCCATTCAAAACTGGCTTTTGTAACACAAGATTCTCTTCTTTTGAAGCAAGAGAAGCATAAATGGGGAACGAATGAGGGCTGGAAAGGGCACGGTGGGGACACGTTAGAGGGCTGTTGTTCTGGAACACTATGGGACTCCTTTTTAAACACTCATTAGAATGGGGCAGATAGAATTAGTGCTTTGCTGCTATTTTATCTCCAGTAGACCTGCCTCATCGCTAGCTGCAGATTTAGGGCATTTGTGGAAATAGATGGTGATGAATGGGTTTTCATTAGTTTAGAAGAGGGAAGACTGCAAAGGAAAGTGCCTCCCAGAACCATCCATCACACTGCCCTGCAATGCCTCTGTAAAAGACTTTTAACAAATGCTGAGCACAGGACAGATCTCATAAAAAAGCCACTATTCAGATTATTCTGGCAAGGAAGAGAATTGCATCTAGTACCCTGGGGAAGTGTCTAAAGTAAAATGACCTCTGTTTCTGGTTCTTGACAATGGAAGTGCAAGGAAGCACAGAGAATGTGACTACAAGAAAAAGCAGGGCACAGCAAATGCATGCAGAGTACTGCTGGCCTCAAGGTATGCTGTGTGCAGGGATGCACGTCCTGCATCCTGTCATGGAGCTGGCAGCTGGGCAGCTCCAAGTTTCAAGAGGCAGACAGCACTGAGTATGGCAGCCTTCAGCTTGAGGGCATGAAATACGTATAGGACTAGAAGAGACTTAATAACCTAAGAGCCAGTTCTCACCCTGCACTGCTGCCTGACCCTGGTCAAGGCAGGTCCTGGGGGAAAGCAGCAGACAGCAGGTACTCTCTGAAGCACCGTGCTGCAGCTGCATCTGCCTCTCTCCTACTCAGTCATGCAGCAGCTTGACTCTCTGTCCTCCCCCTTGGCTCTTGGGAGCAGCCTCCCTGAGCAGAGCTGACTCACCCAGGTGTGGCGCTGGCCAGGTCAGCCCTGATCAATGAGCAGGACAACGGAGCCACAGATGCAGAGCACAGGCAGAACTATGAAATGGACACCAGCCAAATGCAAGAATCTGTATTCAGCTCTACCTTGTGAGTCACAGCCATGGAAAAGAAGTGTGAGAGAGCAGAGACAACCAGAATGTAAACTTTTGCTTACTTTTTCTTTCATACTCCAAGCCCCACCTCCATCACCCCGCATTACAGTAACAGATGCAGACGAAACACACCTTTCTTGGAGCTGATCTCTATTTCAAAGAAGGCTGCTCCTGCTGGGATAAAATGTGAACACTGGCATGGGTTGTGTACACAAGTCCCCAGAAAGCTTTGCCAGCCTGCTTGCTTTCTTCCCTTCTTAAACACCCTGAAACAAATACTATTACAACAGCTCCACCCCTATACAGCTGTGAGAACTCCTCATGCAAAACAAAATAAAATAGAAACTAATAGCAACAAAAACAACAGAATAATAATTAAAAAAAAAAAAAAGAGAGAGAGAGAGAAAAACAACAACAAGAAGAAAACTAACCTGAAAACCTCCAAACAGAAATGCCCCTCCCTGGCTACACAGGTCTGGAAATTTCAGTGTTTCCTCATCACCCCTGTGCAAGGGATGGGCTTTGCCTAGACACAATCCAGCACAGAGTCACCAGCAATTCTCCACTCCAGCAGATTCCCAAGGTGCCAGACCTAGTCCTGTCCCAACTTGCAGGCAGAAGATGTGGGTTCCTCTCTTGGTCACCAGGTGAGTGAAAGGAGAGGGAGGCCCTGAGGAACTGCGCTGCCTTGATGCTGGTCTGCCCAGGATTGTCTGGATGCAGAGAAGGCATTACATGGCAGCCGGTGCTTGCTAAGTAATTACAGTTTCTGCAGACCTGGGAAACATTCCCAGGATTACTGCTGTCTTTGCCTGATCTATAGCAGCAAAGAGGGCAAAAAACAACACAAAGTCCAAATCAGCACTCCTGTAAGGTTACTATCTACTTCTACACAGACACTGCTTTGTCATTCAGCACAGGGCTATGCATGCTCCTAAGAAACTATGGGGACTCACAGGACACCATGAGGGAGACACGACTTTCCAGGTTTCTGCAGTGTCTCCCTCAGGCCTTGCTCGATTCTTACAACTACACAACATCTACAGTAACCCACAGACTTCCCACAGGCCCTGCAGGGCACTGGTCCCAGCATGCTCCAAATGCCTCCTGTTCTCATTGAATCTGGATAAGCATGGCAAGCTGGGACCTGTACCCTTCAAAAGGAACACTGCTCATCTGACAGAGAGCAGGACATCTCTGTGGACTGTTTCCCTATATAAAAGAGAGGAAAAAAAAAACCCAAACAAGAGCAACTGTGATTTGCTCCATTTAATTTCAATTAACTACAGCCCTCAGAGGCCAGGAGAGATGCCAATCTAGCAGTTGGTTGGCCATCCCCTCGGGCACGTCCCATTTCTCAGATGCTCCTTTCCCAACCAGGCCTCTGCTCTCAGCTTAAAGAAGTTTTAAGAATTCATTAAATCCCACTGCGTTCAACTAATAAGAGCTTTTTCTGCAGTTCTTTTTCATCTGGAGGCTGGAACTGAACAGCACTTGGACAGACAAGTACCCTGCTCTGCACTGGGGACTCTGCTACCTCTGAAAGCTCCTGACAGCAACCGGTGTTGTTGCATCCTGTTAGAAGACACCATGTAGTTAGGCTGGAAAAGGAGCTAGTGATGTCCTCAAAGTGCTGACACTTCTTTTCCCTCCCTAAGTTGGGAAATAAGCAGCTTATTTCGCAAAAGGCAAGTGGTTCCCTAAAAAACTACTGAAAAAAATGCAAAGGCTGCTCAGCCCCTTCCCCTAGAAAACTGTAAAAATGGAGACACTGTGGCAGCAGGGAGGCTGGGAAGGCAGCAGAGGGACAGCTGCTGTCTCTGGACTGTGCCACAGCCACGACAGGGTCCAGAGAGGCCTGGCTGTGACTTGTAGATGCTTCCTGTGGAGGATACAGGAGCTCAGGGCCTCTCTGCTCTCCAGCTCGTTGTTCAGTGGGCAGTAAGTGGCTGCAGCTGGTCACCACACTGTCCAGGCAGCTGCTGGTATGTTGGCATATCCTGCCCAAACAGACCTCAAGGCTGTTCTGTGATCAAATTTGCTGTCAGCAACCAGTCCCAGGTCAGGCTCCCCTCCTCCGGAGGTGTCTCCTCTGAGCTTGCTGCTGCTCAGTTGCTCTCCACCAGCTTAGCTAGTCCTTGCCGGATCTCACTGAGCTCAAAAATCTTCACGTCCATTATCTCTGCCACCTTGGTGACCTCATTCTGGATCTTCTCCCTCTCAGACAGGGTCTCCGCCAGTGTCTGCTCGGCCAGGTGAAGGCGGCGCTCCAGCTCTGCATTGCGTGCCTCCAGCTCCTGCCAAAGGACACAACTGCAGTGAGGTGGCTGCCCCAGCACCGATAGGTGCTGCTCACAGATCTCCACACTTATCTCCACCAAACAGTTCCATCAGCAGCCCAGCACAAAGCTGCCCACACCCAGACATCGCAGCTCCGCATCAGCTCTCTCACAGGGGCCCTGCCTACATTAAGCCACAGCATGCCAGCATGCAAATCCATGTGAACGTGTGTCCCCTGACCCAGCCATCTGCATGAGGTTTGAACTGGTGCGAGTGATGTGGATTTCTCACAAACTGATCTTCAAGACTGATGGCATTTGATGTTTAGAAATACTATCTTGGCATGAAAAGCAGTGTCTGGGTGCAGGGCTGAGCCCTGTGACAGATCCCCTCCTTCTTCAGTAACTCAGATAAGCAAACGCAGGCAGTGCCCCCAGAGACTGCACAGATCGTGCTTCCATCTGTGTCCCTGCCCTGAGGTGCAGAGCAGCTTGCATCCCTCCTGCCAGCCAGACTGAGCCATAGCTCTTTTCCCTCAGCCATTGCTGGCCATCCAGCAGGCTGAGCAAGACTTCAGAGAGATGGACAGGTCACAGGATGCCACCATCCCACTTGTGTCCCACGCCAGGTCTACAGCAAGGGGTAGAGGAGAGTATGTGCAGGTTGGGTTTGCCACTGCCCGCTGATGGCATCCTGTCTAATCTCTGAGGGACACAAATTGGGTGGAGGAAGGCAGAGACAAGGACGAGTCCCCATCACCCAGAGGCAGCGTTCAGTTTGGCAGCGCTGACATTTACTCTTAAGCTCAAAGGAAAAATGGTCTCTCTGCTCCAAGTGCAGAGGTGTCCCAGACCTGCCATCATTACCTGGAGCTTCTGTAGTGTCTCCTCACGCTCGCCCTCTGCTTCCCATCGGCCGCATTTTTGGCTTTTCAGCATCTGAATCTCCTAAAACACAAGGGGGAAGAGCATCACACCAGATCCACCTTTGTCCCAGGAGGGCCAGCTCCCACCACAGATCTCAACAAAAGCTCTTTCCCTTGCTGCAAAGATCATATAACCATACGCAGCTCAAAAGTTTGGCTTCCTTAATGCTCTTTTTCAAATCTCCATTTCATTGCACCTATTGCCCCTCTCTAAGCCCCTGTCCTGTGCTGGCTTATGAAGGCTCCTGGCTTGTGTAGCATCATGTGCAACAGCATGAGGTATCTGATCTCAGAGAAGCTATGAATAACAGACAGGGTGTTGGTGATTGACAGGCCACCCAGATTCAGCAGAATTCAGATCTCTGCTTCATGGGGATATTACCTCATCTTTAGCCTTGATCAGCAGTTCCAGTTCTTCCAGGGTTTGGCTCAGCTCTTCCTTGTTGTTCTCACTGGAGGAGTCATGAGCCCCCTGTGACTCCAGTTCTGCTACCTACACAGAAGGAAGGGAGTTATGCTTAGAGACACAGGAATGTCCCCACATCTTATTACTAACAGGCATTTTCTGTCACGTTCTGGATCTCTTGCAAACACAACTGAGCTTGCAACAGGGTAACAGCTCAAATCCTGTGGCTACTGGGAAAAAAATGTCCCTCCTTCTGCTCTGCATAGATCATACACAAACACACACTGCAGCAAAATCCTGTTTAGAGTCTCCATCTCTGCTTTCTCCTTCAGTCTTGCACTTACAGTAAATTCTGACTGGCTGACATCAAGCACACGAGCCCATAGTTCATAGCAATGGCCAGATCCAGCACCATTTACAGCCCCAGATTGATACTGCTGTGGGCAAGGGAGTTACTGCAGTTCAGTCACAGCAGAGCCAGCAGGAAGGGTTTGTCCAAGTGTGCTTCCCATTCCCAAAAAATTCAGCCCAGTGGCTTAAATTATTCATGACAAGATTCATTTTTAAAGGCTATTCAGAAAGTCTGCAGCAGCTGCTGATGAGGGCTGAGCTCTCAAAGGGCCTGTGCTGAGCTTTGCAAGTGCAGCTCCAGCACTGAGTACTCTCACATGGACACACTTGAATCCAAACACTTTCCCACAAACAAGGGCAGCCTGCACTAGGATTCATGTAACCGTGGCCACGAGCTGTGAGGCTCACATAGTTACAGCCAGAATCAACCAGCTCTGGTCCCACAACGTCCTGGTTTGGAGACAACTGTCTGGATGTTCCAATGAGTTTGTTTATTGTGTGATCCTACAAAGTCCCCACTGGCTGCCCCTCACTCATGAAAGCCTAACTCCTGTCTCCTGGCTATGAGAACAGCCACCAAACAGCTGAGAATTCACAGAGCGATGGCAAGGAAATGGAAGCTCATGCCAGCCAGCCCTGAAAAATGCACATATGTGTAGGCACAGCCAAGATCTCAGTTATACTTAAGGCAGGCTCCTGTTGCAGAAGAGAAAATTTGCTCTGTACAACTCTTTTACTGTCTGACTCCTCTGCTGAGAATTAGGAATAGGCACAGTGAATCCTGAGGGATGGTTGTTTACTGCACAAACTGGCCACACAACAGCCATCAAGTGGGAACAGCTGTTAATTGCTATAAAACCCTGCTGTCTTTTGAATGCACTAGAAGTGAAATGCTTTTATGCTTCCTTCTCCAGGGCTCCAGAGTCCTTTTCCAGAGCAATTCCAACTGTCCTAACATGCTTTCTTGAATACACTGCAGTTCCTCCCTTCCAAGAAACCCAGCCATGTGACTGTCACTCCTCTGCCCAGTTGCACACAGGCCTCCTCAGTTGATCTGCGACCTCTTTGACATTACGTAGGTCAAAAGATGCTATTATTCCAGCTGAACAAGTGCTTGTTTGTACTGTGCAACCCCCGTTTCATGATGTTACAGCTTAGATTCCAGCTAATTATAGCAGATAGAGCAATATTCATCCTTCGTGCCAGCAGCCAAAAGGCTGTCCTGATGCCCAGCTCTGGAGGAAAACAGGCCTTACTCAGCAGAGCTGGCAGCTAGGAACTACCTTGGAGAAATATGAAGGGAAGCCAGTATTCTAACTTAGTGTTCTGGTTTCCTCCCTTTATCTACAAGGACTCAGCACACTCTCAGCTTGCTCTGCAGAATAAAGGAGCTCTTGTGAGAGGCCCCTGGTTGCGTGACCTTATTCCTTGACACATCTTCCCTGCCAGACTCACACAGCATCCTGAATTTGACACCCATGAAAACTGATGGGAGAACGGGGTCAAGGGCACCATCTGGCTCTGGAACAGGGTTTCCTCTGACCTGTTCTACAAGGGCCCTCCTCTGCTCACCCGCTGCCGCAGTGTTTCCGTCTCCTCTTGATACGCAGCCAGCTGCTTCTTCCACTGGTCCACATTGGCATTGGCTTCATGGAGAGCAGCCACAAGTTTGCTGTTGTTGTCCTGAAGGCTAAAGAATTCAGCTTCCCACTGGACCTCACTCACGGAGCTGTGTAAAAGAATAGGGAAGCATGCAGGACAGCTTGAGAGTCTTATTATCACAGAATCACAGAAGGTTTCGTTTCCTCGTATTGCAAATGTGCACTGAAATCATGCTCCTGGAGATGCTGGGCAGCTCTCTACCCTGCACAGCTTTTTATTTGCTTTTTGTCTCACTTCTCAAATTTAAATGTATCCTCCAATCCTTGAATCTGCTTTCTTTCCTTTATCCTCTGATAATATTCAACTTCAAGGTCACGTGTGTTTTCTTGAAACTGCAGAAACCACACAGTGCGATTAATGGTTGGGGGGGGGTTGGCAATGTAGGATTGTGAATCCAGTTTTAAATCCCTGTTGGATCTGGGTTTGCTTTGAGTAAAACTCTACCACCCAACTCGGGAGAAGGCAGCAAAGGACACTTGCTTTTAATTTAAAAATATTCTAAGTGTTCAGCTGGGAGCTCAGCAGGAGCCGCAGGGTAGAATCCAGCCCAGAGTCTTTTGAACAAAGAGCAGAAGCAGCAGGGACTTTGCTGGAATCATCAGGGGAATTAACACAAATGCAGCCTTAGGCCAGCTGGAAAAGTGTGAACATCTTCTGGTATCACAAACTACTGATTTGTAGATAAGTGGTGTGAACTCATCCCTGCTGCAGACTCAAAGCGTTCTCCTGTTCTCCTTCCCATCCTGCAGGAATAACAGATTTCACCCCTGAACTGAAAAAAAACTTTCACCTGGGGAGAAAGGAAATTGTTACAGTGGAAGGTTTGGGCAACAGCAAACTCAGAGCATTCTTTGGCTAACTAAACAAGTATTATGGGGTCAGCAGTTTGACCCCCATCAAATCTTGTCAGTTTGAGCTGAGATCACATGGTTATTTAGGAGCTCTATGAGCACTAGGAGAACAGAACATGCTCCAAATCCTGCCAGAACAGAGAATTTAGAAGCCAGGAACTCATAGCAGCCTCACCCTTCTGAAAGCATCTTCTTCAGACGCTCCTTCTCTGTGCTTATCTCAACATCAGCACTTTGGCTCCTGAATAGTTTATCTTCTCCTGGTCCATTTGAGCTGATGATGGGGCTGGGAAGTACCTGAGGGATGAGGAAGAGGTGGTTATCATAGGGCAGCAAAGAAAAACTGTGGCCACCGGATTCCTGCAGACTCATTCACAACCTGGGTTCACAGGGCTGGCTCTCATTTCCTGTGTTTGTGTGCGAGACCCCAGCTTTCAATGTCAGCTCCTATAGTGCTGTGCACAACATTTACATGGCAAGTCATGGCAAAGACCCTCATGTATAGCTCAGCAGAATCAATCATGGTGTAATTATGACTTCAGAAATGCACAGACACAGGGCTTTCTCTTGGACAGGGGAGCTGGTGTCTGTCCTGCTCAGCTCTTCCAGCAGATGCTCTGCTCTCACGTCTTCCCTTTCCCTGCCTCCATGCTATGTTGGGGCAGTGATCCCAGTGCACAGACACCCTGAACAGGTGGGCTCACAGCTTGCCCACACAGCTCTTCCTCCCTCCTGACTTGAGGTACTGGATTCTCTGGCCCTCAGCTTTCCCTTGACAAATGCCAGTGATGTTACAGCCTGTAATTTGAGTCCCATGGCTGTGCCCAACGTGCCAAGTTGCTCAAGCTGGCTGTTTCAGGGTTTTACTGAATTCTTAACACGATTTTCTTGCTGGTTCTCAGAGCAGTTCAAAGGCTTAATGCACTCTGAACACAGACCTAGCTATGCCACCTGTGTTCAGTTGCAGCTCGTTTCAGTACACTGAATTAAGACACCATGTACCACTGCAACTGTGGGGCTCAAGGGAGGGAAGCTCTGCTACTGTCACTCACTTTTCAAAGCGTGGAAGAAAAGACTCATACTCCTAAAGTACACCCCTTTCTCTAATACCTCCCTGTTCCTGTGCTATCGGAGCTAGAAGATCGGAGCTAGAAGAGATGGATTCATCCTCCCAGCCTGAGGGAAACTGACAGCAGAGCAGCGATGAACATGCAAAATCCAAAGCAATCTTTATATCCTTCCCTCCAGAAGACCCTGTCTTCATGGTCTCCCTTCATAGCAGGAAAGAAACTTGGCACAGACGTGGCAAACTATAAAAAGACTCTGCGTAATGAGACTTTGGGATTCTTAGTTGAGGGCTGCGAGACCAGGTGGCTGGTGAGCCCACTGGAGTTGATAGGTAGCCCTTAAAAGCCTGTGATAAGGACAGCCACCTGTCTTCAGAGTCATCTGACATCTAAAAATAGAGCCAGACTGGGCCACAAGATGTATTGAACACCAGCTTCAAGAAGCCTTCCAGAGGGCAATCGAGAAGCAAGACCTGCAAGATACAACCCTGCCTCATCTTGCCCCACAAAGCTCTTTTTGTAGGTGGAGAAACGGAGGCAGGCAAGGTGCAGAAGTTTTTGTTCTGGTCTGTTGCTCCTGTGAGTTCAGCTGAAACTGGTAGCAGTTGAAGATGCTCCACAATGTTTTGCTACTCGCAGTACCCACAGTTACTCTGTGATGGAGATGCTAAAACAAGATGGGGATTGACCTAAAAGGTACTAGGGGATGGGAGAGAACTGCTGTCCTGGGATTTCCTCTTAAGTCTGAAGCCTAAATTAGCTAGTGCAAATGCAGAAAATCAGAGAACCCTGATTTAATGTCAGGAGACAGGCCTGCTCTCTGCTCACTTGCAAACAGAAAAACGATCAATTATTGAAGGATGAAGCTCATGTTTGAAGCTGCATTAACGCAGGGACTGCAAACCAGTAGTAGGAGATGATGTGTGTACAGGCTGGGGGAAGCAGGACAAGGCCTGCATGCCCACACGGCAGCAAACGCTGCATGTGCTGAGTGCTGGCTGCCAGATGGCTGCAGGCAGGGGTCATGCATACCTATGTGTGAGCTCTCCCGTGGTGAGATGAGGCATGCTGAATGGGAAGGGTGAGCATAGGCTTACACTGAGGCCATTTTAGCACTGCTGAGTCAAGTACAAAGAATGAACTGAGCCTTAAGGCCACTTCCAAGATGTGTGCCAGATCACCTTCTGATCACCTCATACCTTCTGCTGTGCATGGGAAATGGACACATCCTATTGTGACATCTGTTGCACACAGCCTGATATAAACAGAACAGCAGAGTGTTTCTCCACTCTCTGCTTGCCTCCCAGCCAGGGAAGCTCTCATAGTTGCAGCTGACCATGAATCTGTCTTGGTTCTGTTACGAATGCTCTATTCAACTCTTACTCATGTGCCACATATTAAGATGGGACTAAGACAGTGGGAGCCAAAATCCAGGTGGGTTTTGCCCATTTTTCCATTCCACATGACATTTCCAGTCTCTTGAGAGCCACTGCCTCTACCTCCCCCTTTTTTCCCTGCAGGCCAAGGTACTGTTCACACTCCCTCCTCCTCCTGCTGCCATTCCATCTGTATTCAACCCAGAGAACGCAGCATCCTCCATCCCACAGCTCCTCTCCTTCTGCCAGGAGCTCAGTGAAATCCATAGCCACCCCTGGAGAGCACTACTTGGGAGGGCAACTTCACCATCAATGCCAAACTGCTGCAATGTGAGAAAAAGATGCGTAGACATCTCCACAGCTTATCCTCTGCTCTCCACGCTCCTGCTGCTGGAATTGATTTAGTTATACAGGGACAGGCAGCAATTGCAAGTGTGACAAATGTGAGAATGATAAGTGACGGGCTTCAGCTTTCTGGTCTGGGGAAAAATGAAATTGAATGACTGGTTGTCATGCTTGCATCTCTTAGTGAAGATTTCCCCAAGGTCCAAGGTAGTGATTTCTGCAGGGATAGCACAGCTCCTTCTCTTCAACAGTGGAAGCAGGGCAGAAATGGAAGAAATATAGCAGGGACTCCCCAGTCACCAGTGCTAAGAAATCACTTTGTCTTTCTGAGACCATCAGCTACCAGAGACACTTGAGAGAGGAACTCCCCTGCAGCCCCAGCAAGGGAACAAAAATGGCTGGAAATGCCACGTATCTTTTCTCCTATCTTCTTCAGCCAGGCAGCATGCATTCTTGCATGTTGCTTGCCTATTACTGTCACACTGAGTCCACAGAGAGCCAGTAACTCTAAAGAAAATAAAGCCAAAAACCACTACCGTCACCACTGACAGAAAACCCAAAACCTCCTCCAGCATGGTTTTATCAAGACAAATGTTGAACTGGCAAAGAGGGAGGAGTGTAAACCTTCCAAGAACTCCACTTAAGCAGAAATCATTTTATCCACTTCATGTGCTTCAGCAGAGTGACATCAGGGTCACAGGTGTCATCTGAAAGAGAACCTCCAACCTCAGTGTCTATCAAGAAAGCTTGTGGGCAGAAAAGACAGAAGCAAAAGTTACTAGAGGAGATCAGCACAGTGACCATCTTCCCTAGCAGCCCTGCTCTGCAGTAAGCTTTATCCCTGCACATCCCCAAGCATTACCTGGTGAGATGTGATACTCAGGGCAGGATTGGTCAGTTCTGTTTTATCCTGGGACTTCTCCCTTGCCAAACGTGCTGCTTCTTTCACCTCCTGGAACTTCTCTGCGAACTGGAAGGAAGCAGAAAAGTCACTCTGCTGCTAAACTGAAATGTAGAACAAATTAGAATCTATGTCTGGGTCACTCCTCCCTTTGTTATTTCATTTTATGTGCTTTCTACTTCAATTAATATTAAAAGTGAGGAAATAGCCCCTACCTGCCCATGATTCCAGCACTCAGAACTGTGCGAGCAGCTAAATACTCATGGAGCCCTAAGTCCAAATTCATTTTGTAACAATCAAGAAGCTCTACAAGGATTACTTTAAACCATTTCCTCATATCTTTGCATCTTGAATTAGGTTTTAGCACACTGGGAACAGCACTACATCAGGACCCCAATGTTTCTTTTTCCTCCTGAGTCTGATCTCCCCTTCTGGGTTTCAGGGACATTTTTCTTACTGGGATCAGGTCTCTACCAGCATCTGCCACATTACCTGGGAGAGGTGCTGCTCTGAAGCAAAACCCAGTCCATACACTGTGTTGGCTCGGCTGTCTGCCCACTGTCCAAATTTCTGGGATGTCTTTGTGAAGGTCATGTTGGGGGTGATGGTGCTGTTGATGATTGCCTGTGGAGAGAGGCAAAAATGAGTTAGAGAGAACTCCGTTCTGCTGCCCCAGGGTTTGTGTGGGATCACCACAATCACTGAGCACTCTTGGAACTCAGGGTAGAGACTCTCTTTTAATAAAACAGCTATTCAGGGTTCTGGTGACTAAAAGTCTTTCTAGTCTAGCTGTGAAACACAAACAGGTGTGAATCTTTTTGTCTACTGTAAGAAAAAAATAAATAAGAAAGCCTGAATGTTACAATCTTTATTGGGCCTCCATTGCTAGAAGAAAAGATGCAGAATGCCTCTGGGGACTGAACAACTTTCTGATGTTCTTCACTTTCATGGCAAGTAGGAATTAAAAAAACAAGAAGTAAAAGGCTGAAACTGCACTTAGCACAAGCTATTACAGAACACTGTTGGTTAGAGTAGCAACACAATGAACTGCTTAAGAAGATTGCAAGAATCTCTGCCACTGGAGGTCTTCAGAAACAAGTCAGAAAAATCTCTATCAAGAGCAGTTTAGGGAGAATTAACCTTGTCTTGGGGGTAGTGACTGAACAGACTGCAGCACCTCTGTTTGTTCCTTCTGTCTACATGGGTCAGTTTCAGCACAGGATCAAGGCTCTCAGAAAGATCTCTTTTGCATGCTCAGAGAGGAAAGAGCCAAGGAGCGAGAGACAAGAAAGCACACTTCTCATTAGCACAGAGCCTAGTGTCCATACTGAGTACATTGAAGCATGGAGGCAGTGCTTTATCTTCTATTCCTTGTAGTAAAGACACCAGAGTGCCCCATGCTGGAAACTAATCAACGTGACACAAAGCATCCAGAACAGACATCAGTTGGAGACAAACTTGCTTTCCAGCTGTGATGCTGTCAGCTAATGCTCCCTACCTTGGTGCCCCCCACACTGATGATCCGGTACACGTTGCGCGTGGCATCGTAAAAATAGGAGACAGTCAAGGCGTGTTTGCTGGCGGGGATCCAGTTTCTTTTGGTAGCAGGGTCAATTTGGAAAACATGGGCTCTGGTGCTGAAGATTGGCTGCTCCCTGCAACAGAAATGAACAGAGCTGTAAGGGCAGAGGGGAAGCTGAGCAATGGGGGAAGTGGACCGACTTTCTGGCACTTGCATTGTGTTATGCATCCCCAGTGGCACTTCTGCTATTGGCCTCCAATCTAGAGATATGTGACAGTGGGAGCTAAGCACAGTAGCTCATATGGACATAGTAACAAAGCTACCAAGGATGTTTAACTATAGGCAGAAGTTTTTACCTTCCTCTAGATCTTCTCTGTCCTGCTCCGTTGTCTTCACACATTTCTAAAGACCACAGCCTCGTCATAGCAGCAACAGCACCCCAAGGTTAGCAAGCCTTACTCACACATTCACCCAGGGATCAGCATTCAGCTTGCAGGTAGAAACACAAACAGGACATCACAATCTCGTGTTCTGTCTACCAGATGGTCCTACACAACACAGCTGCTGTGGCAAAGTTAAGCTAATAATTAGTGGTTATATTATTTTTAGCCAGATTTGAAGTTTTCTTTCACTATCCCTTGGCACATGAGCAAACAGTTCATGGTGACTTCACCAGCTATATGATTCTCTGGCTGCTATGCTGCTTGCCCTTCACAAGATATCTCTGACCTGGAGCTCTGGGAAAGCGGACGGATGAATAGATGGAGGATGGGTTTGGGCTGTGAACACAAGTGCCTTCCCCTCAGCACAGCTCTTCCTCCCTTGACTCATGCTTGGGAAGCACATCCTGCAGTGAGAGGTCATGCTGCAGGATTAAAAGCAAGTCACTTAAGAATGAATTAAAGGAAGCACTTCACCACACAATGTGCAGCTGCTGCACGAAAGCAAGTAGTGCCTGGATTCTGTAACCAGTAATATCTAAGCTGAACTAAGGAACTGAATCTCAGGCATCAGGATGTAATCTGAGCATTTCAAGAGGCAGGAAGAAATGTTTCCATGACACAACAGACCAGGTGCATCAGGGCTTGCAGTCTCCATTTTACTTTGTTTAAAACCCAAGGCACTGGCCATTTCCACACTTCAATTGAGTGAGGTCTGATGTGGTTGGATGTATCCCATGACTTCTTGTCTGGATAAAACAGCTGCAAACAAAGCATAGCCACAATCCTGTGACATGCAAGTCCCCGAAATCCAGAAATTTATTTCCAGCCTATTTTAAGTTCTCACAGCTGCAATGAAGAGAACAAGATGATGACTGTACCTGGTGCTTTCTGAATGCATCGACAAAACTTAGGAAGGAAATAAAATTCTCCCTTTGACCTCCCTTTTTCCAGCTTTGTCCACTGGTTACAGTCCTGACTCAGCTCTCTTGTTCAGAAGAAGCCTGTGCAAGGGTCTGAACCAGATATTTCTGTACATTCCCTCTGTCTGGTTTAATTCAGCCACAGCTTTTTTTTCAAATAAGACTCAAATTCTCTGGGCTGCACTAACAGTTACTATAATTTACATGGATCATGACTTATCCTTCAAGACACAGAATTTACAGAGCTGGGGAAAATGAACATTTCTGTGCCTTAGCGCCCAAGTCCTGGGCCAGTGTCAGAAAGAACAAAGGAAGGACATTACCTAGTTGTTGACATTTGTTAGTAAGTGTAAGACAGGCCACAGGCCAGTGGAGTTAGTATACGTCTCTCCTCCAGCAGCTTCCTTCTCAGGTCTCCTAGCTGGATTGAGACTCCTTTTTGGTTTTGCCTCCACAGTGATTCATTTCCTAGCGATGGAAAAAGTCAGCTGTTATTTATCACACAGAACACAGACAGTGTTCAACCAGGCAGCACTCAGGGGGTTCGTTTGTCCCAAACTCACAGAGCTTGTAATTTGTAACGATCTCTCATCACTGAGCAAGTTTTCTTTCCCTGTCATGGGAGATAATTGGGTGAGCTGTGTAACTGGAGCAAATCCCTCTGGCAGCAAGAGCCAGCTGTTGGGAGTGGGCCATGGAGGAGCCTGGAAGGCTCTAATGTTTCCAGTCATGCACACGTGACACTGGCTGCAGTGACACCATGATGGAAAGCCCTGCTCAGAGATCACCCCTCACACGCACAGCAGTTATTCCTGTGCTCAGCAGCAACGTCTGCTCCTGGAATCAATGGAAACCATCCTGCTGACTGCAGCGGGTTTCAGACCAAGCAGTGGATCTGATGGCCCCTGCCACGTGCCCTGACCGAGCTCCCAGACCCTCCTGGAGATTTTCCTTCTCTGATTGCAGCAACAGTGCTGTAGTAGCACCTGGGTATTACTTTCCCTCTTAACACCAGGAACGGAAAATAAAATGCCACTGGAACGTCTATCAGAATATCAGAATCTTCACAGTGGTTTGCTTACGTTTTTTCCACTTGCACGAGGCTGACTTGGCTGCTTGCTTACCCAGAACACAGATGAGGCATGCATGCCCGTTCCCTGCTCTCAGGTACAAGGAGCTATGCGCCAGGTATGCTGAAATTTGCACCACTGTTGGTGTCAGTGGGAAGGGAGCTCTGCTTTCATGCCATTCTGTGATCACTGCTGTCTCAACACTTCTCATATGTTTGTTCCTGCCTTATGGTCTTCCCCAGAGCAACAAGACTTCATGCTGTCTCTGACAGGTCTTTCCCTTTCAGTTACAAATGTGAAAGTCGCACAGACTTCACCAGCAAGCTGAGAGATACACCAGATGTGCTTTGCTTCCAACAGAAAGCAAACTGCCAGCAGCAGCAGCAGGGCACGTCTATGACTCCACCTGCCTACTTGGTGCCAAGGAGGGAACTCCAGCACCCATCTCCCTCTGAGAGAATTAAAATATGCAGAATCTCCCAAAATTCTGTTTCACATCTCCCCTTTCCTTACCGTAAACAGGAACAATTGCTGCCAATTTGCAAGTTCCTAATAATGGATTTTTAAGATAGCATTATGAGACCAGCATGTTATTGGCTCCTCATAACCACCTGAGTACAGCAGCAGCCTGGCATGTGAACAATGCTTTCTAGGAAGCAGTTCCTGAAGCTCTGTAGGTAATGATCGAGGAGAGCTTTGTGCTCTGCTTGGGAACAGCACTGAGATGTTCACACTCCTTTCTTGTGGAGGGGGAAAAAAAGACGGTTTTGTAAATCCAGCAAAATGATACAGAATATATCTAGGTAGTAAAATAACGTATTGCACAGGATGCAATGGAAGTGTGGAAGCCTTCCTTTCAGTACTCACATACTTGTTTGACAAGGTTAAAGCAGACATTACACAACAAAAGCTCTCCTAGGGTCTAAACGGTGAAGCACAAGAGAAATAGCAGGCAGCAGTAACTGCAAGAGGGGAATAAAAAGCAAGGAATTGAGACTACACTGGTGTGGGAATAGGGGAGGTGAGCAGCTCTGGGAAGGTCCTGACAACAGAGCCTGTGCAGCCTGCAGATCGAGGGTACGCATCTAACAAGGCACCAGGGAGCTCCACCTTACCCTCTCTGAAGTTTCTCAGCAGAACCACAGCAGGGCTTGGCACAGCTCGGCACAGCTGAGTGGGTTTGCAAGGAGGGGGCGCAAGGAATGCTGCAGGGCACTGGCATCCCTGCTGGAGGTTCAGAGCAGGAAAAGGTGCTGAAAGCTGTATCTGAGATGCACGAGCGAGGTACTGTCTGAAGAACACCCACCTGTGATCAGCTTGCTTCTGGCCGAGCTGCTGGCCCCTTGTCTCCAAAAACACTACAAAGCATTTAAAAATAGTCCTGAAAGTGCCTAGGATTCAAACTGCCGTGTTCTTTTTCCCACTACAGTTCTCTTTCCCCTTTTAAGTGCCTAAACTAGGTTCACCACACATCCCTAAATGCTGCCTCTTCTTTTCCTGCTCCCGGCTAGGAGTCCCTGTAACAACTAATCCAGCTGTTCTTTGTAACACCAAAGCACCTGGCTCCAGGATGTTGTCTGAGCACAAACTCAGCTACCTCCTTTTGTTGATTCTCCTTAGAGAAGCTGGAAGAAGGTCACTGGGTGTCTGGGGATGACATGGGAGCAGAAGGGATGGATCAATCATAGCTGATTTGCTCACCGAATGGAGTTCGACCCAGTGGTCATTAAGATGGCATACAAAAAATGCATGCTGGTCTCATTTCTACCTTGATTCTTATACTATTCTCATTACTACAATGTCCAAATTGATTTCTTAATGAATAGCTGCTTATTTCACCATTGCAACGAGCAGATCATTATTTGTCCTCTTATTTTATGGCCCCAGTAGAATTGCAAGGACTGAGAGAGCCAAAGGAACTGAGTTGGCCAGCACTGAGCAAGGGGCCTCACCGTGCTGGGACACATCACTAAGCTGCCAAGAGCCTGGAGGAGAATACCCTGCAAGCAATGGCATGTGTCAAAGAGGTACAGATGGCATCAGTTCACTCCCTTGCACTAGTGCCATATTTCACCTGTGGGGTATGCTGAGCAGAAAAAGTACCAAAACCTGGATGAGATTAAAACCAGTGCTGCTCTCCAATTCTGTGTAATCTGAACACATATGTCAGTAGATTTACGGACTGTCCTCGAGTGTCCTAGCTGGATACAGGCTCTTTATAGGCCTGCAAGCCTGTTCCTATGTAAGATGTTCTGAAGAAATCCAGTGCTTCTGCAGACAGAATGCGCCAGAGAATCTTCCCTGCAACAGAAAAGGATATAAGCCACCTCCCAAGGAGGCCCCTCCAAACGGGCCTGCAGCTACAGCTGTTCAGGGGCAGCACCAGGGGCTGGCACCAGCTCTGTTGCCCTGGAGCACTGCAGTGCAGGTGCCACGTGGAGCAGCACCTCCCCAGGCACCACAGCACAGCATCCAAGCTGAAGCAGAGCTCCTGACAGCATGGAGCTTGTCTGTCCAGCTCTACCACACAGACCATCACACAGAGCTCTCAACACACATCTACACCTGCAGTGGGGAATCACCACCAATTCCTTTGCTTGACATGTCTTTAATGGCAGGATTTTACAAAGCATTTTCTCTAATCCTCACTAGATAAATACTCCCAATCCAGCAGATGGATCTAATAACCAAATAGAAATCAAAAAGCGAAGTGATTTTTCCATTTAGACCACAGAAGGCATAGACAGAGCTGGGAACAGAGCACGTTCCCACTGCCACCTCCAGCCACAACACCCAGTGTAAAATGCTATGAAGCAACATCCTCCATTCTAAGGAACAGTTTGTGTTGCAGGATGTGACAGCCAGGCTTTGGAAGAAACGTTCAGCAAGACATTTATCTCTGAGCCTGAATTTCAGGCACTGTGGCAGCTTCTGTGTTTCATTGCGTGCTGTCTTCTCATTTTCAGCTGCCTGTTGGGTTCTTCACACAGCATGGTCTTCTCAGAGAAATGATGCTTTGCTGCATTTACTTTTGGGGAGTATTTCCAGTGCAAATACCACCTCTTTAGGAAAAGCCCATTTGACAGTTACAGGCTCGCTCCCCTCAGTGGGTTCCCAACCCTAAGGGCAACTGCTAAAATACAGCCTTCCTGCCAGACCTCTTTGAAAGGAAAAGAGGCAGAAGAATAAAATAAACCCTTTTATTATTTTTTTTTCTTTAAACACTCTTTGCTTCAGATCTTTTATGGCACCCAGCAACGTCTTTGCTCAGTAGCTTCTACACAGGGCGTGGGGAAGTGTTTCTGCCTGCACCACTGCATTTGGCTGATGCTTTGTGTCCTTGTTTTTCTCCATTTTTCCTGTGCAATCTGGGGGATTTTTCCTACTGAGAATCTTTTATTTTTTTCTCCTTAGCAATTCTGGCCTCACAATCCTGTCTACCCACCCGAAACACACCTATTTAGTAAACCAAATTACTTACTACCTCCTGCCCACCTGCCCCCTTTGCTGCATGACCAGAAAGAAATCTTGTTATATGTGCTTTGGAAAGGAAAGCTTTTAGAGTCACCATTCCCCGAACAGATGCTGTTTAAAGCAGCAGCTGGGATGTGCCGAGGAGGCTGAGCTTGGTCCTCATTAACTGCATTTGCCTTGGTGTTCCTGGATGGGGTTCAGCCAAGGGCACCTCTACAGGTTCACGTGCTGTTCCCCCCCTCTCTCATTGCAGCTTCTCTTTGCAGGGACATTCATTTACTTGTCAGACAAAGAAGTCTCTGCATTTGGATGCAGAGAAGGTGATAATTTTAAATATCTCGCTCTGCATCCAGGCAGTCCGTAGCCCCCCTTCATCTAAAAACCAAGACAAAAATGCCGTATGAGGAACCACAAAGTACCAGCAGAATCGTTGGTTTCTGTGAACGATGGGCACAACAGTGCACAGGCACAAGGGCAGGGAGCAGCTCTGGGGTGTGATAGCAGAAGAACACCTTCAGGAGCACAGAGACCTAGGAACATATTTTTGCACTGTGCCCTGCGGCTGGGCTCAATGCACAGCCATGTAAATCCCCAGAAAAGAAGTCATCCCATAAAGGTCCATGGACAGCATTGGGTAAGGATTTCCCAGCTGCTGTGGTGGGAACTTTGCAGTTCTCACTGCTATCTTCTCTAAAGTTCTTTCTCTCCAAGGACAACTTTCCTGGACGGGTCCAGCTTGTGCAGAGCAGATGGGGGTACGTGAGAGCATGTGAGCACCAAAGATACGTGGCTCAGCTCTGGCGCCCGGCCCAGCACCACGCTGAGTCAGCTGGGAGGCCGTGCTGGCTGCGTCAGGGCTCTGCCTGCTGCTGATCAGAGCCAGCACTCTCATGTAAAAAGCCCAGTGTGCAGTGTGGTGCTGGGTAATTTGAGGGAGGGGCTGGGGGGGAATGCATTTCAGCCCACCAGGACCCGGTATTTCAAAAGGCAGAACTGGAGCATAGAGAGGATGTGAGAACCAGTTTCCTTCTCCACTGCTGTCTATCTTTGTTTCCTTTTATCTTCCCTCAGCAGCCTGAATAGCTGACGACTGCATGTCAGTGCTTTCTGAGGAAGTGTGGACTCACAGGACTGCAGAATCAAACCTCATTTCTTCCTCATTGCCTGTTTTCTGAAAATCTAACTTTTCCCAAGTCAGGGACTGGGTCTCACTACCTCCACAGCCTATGGAAGCTATTGCTTCCTCACAAATGGGTGCAGAGGCCGTGCATGGATACTGCCTGCTAGGATTTGGGTACCGGCCTGCAGGACGTGATCAGTAGACACTGAACTGCCGTAGTAACAAAGTTTGGGAAGGCTCGCTCACAGCCCTTTGCTCCAAACACCAGGCAGGTTTTCAGGCCCTCTTAGCTACAGCCTTGCTTTCATCCACTGCTGCATCAGGTCACCTTGGGCGAAATGCTCAGATGCTGCTGGAGTCCAGGTGGGACCAGCAGAGACCAGACTTCTCTACTGGCAGCCACACAGGGAAGGCTGAGCAGTGAAGCTCCAGCAGCGTTAGCTGGAAGCTGCCTGTGGGCTGCTTTCCCTGTGGCCTCCCCCAACTCCCAAGAGATTACCCAGCAGGGTTTAGCACAGGAATGAAAAGCAGCTGCCTCCTGGCCTGCCTGCAGATAAAGGGCAGCAAAGGAATCCTGGCTGAATATGCTCCTGTTGGGAACAGCAGCAAGCACGCAAGGTCAGGCAGAGAGAACGGGGATCAAGGGCGTTTAAAGGCATACGTATCCTTATCCTTGTTATTTTCTTTACCCTCTCTCAAAAACCAGTCTCTATTTACAGAGCATCTTGATTGCTGAACACTGCAGCTGGGTGTCTGTAACACAACCTACACATTCACTTTCCTCAGACAACTATTCTGCTACTGAGCATCAGCAGTTCTTTCTTTTGATGCACTGCTGGAAGTCTGTAGAGCAAATACAGTTAGAAAGCAGCAGAGCTACACTGAAACTGAACAATTCTTCATACATTCCAGAAAAAAACACTTTCAGTAATAAAGAGAACCAAAGAAATGGACACAGACATGAACTCCAAAATGGATTCTACCTCTGCTTCTTGACTGCAAGCCACAGGACCCATCTGACAGGCACACATGCCTGCTTTCCCTCAGCTCCTTGAGGTCTGCTGCCATTTTCAACCCGTACTCACAAGAGCTCCAGGAGCACAACCAGCACAAGGGGCAGCTCTAGCTGCTGCTCACAGTGCAGTGGCACTACACATGAGCGGGTGAATTCTTTGATAAATGGGACAAATGGGAAAACTACACTGATCCGATTAGAAGTTTACCTACTTGTGCTTCTGTCTTCTATGCAGTTAGCAGTCAGAGAAATGTAAGTGCCTACTGAAGTCTCAGCTGGATCCAACTACATTCACTTCCCTCTCAATCAGGTGTTAGTTACAACTATATTCTTCAGAGGGGAAGTGCTGATGTGTTAACACAAGAGTCCAAGGACAGTTTGTCTGTGGAAACCAGAATGTGATGTTACCAAAAACATTAAATATGGAGGAACAAAGCTCAGAATCCCTGCTTCAAAAATAAGTTAACTAAAGCCAACAGAACAAGCCAGAACGTCATTTGAAGGTGGTACACTTTTAATCTTTTGTATTGAGAGGAATCGAACTGCTGCTGAAAGCTACTTAATATCCCCATGTGATCAACGAACAAGTAAGAAGACCTTTTAACTCAGGAGATAAGTGGAAATACGGAATTTTGGGTGGAAATGTCATCTCTGGCTTAGTTTTGTTAGTACACTGCTACACAGGGAGATCCAAGCAGACTGAGCTCAGAGCTTCTTCCCTGGGAGCTGGTGGTCTGAAGTCACAACGACTGCTGTTAACCGTGGCTGTTCCAAGCAGGGTTCATTCCCACCTCTGGGAAATACGCTGTGCTGTCACAAGCTGCCTGCCTGCTACGCCCTTCCTGGCACTTCCAGAAGTTTTACCGTAACTTTGTGCATCACAGGAAAAGTTACAGGAAAACAAGGCCACTTTAACCTGGATTAGCACATACCCTGCCAACTTCAAAGGCTCTATGCCTGCTTCACACTGCTGTCACTTCTGATTCCTCGCCTCTACCAGTTCTGTGTCTTGAAGGTGTGTCTGCCTGCTTGACTGTTTTATCTACACAGTCTATGAGGAATATCAGCAAGGGGAAAACAAGCCTCTAAGAATCTCACTTATTTGTGTTGTAATGCCAAACCCACACAAGTGGAGGGGGTTGATCAGACAGATCCAGTACGCTTTCAAACAGCCACCAAGAGTTTAATACACAAGAAACTCCCAACAGTGTGTCAGGTCCTTCAACTTACATGACTGAGATTTATAAATAGGGCATAAATTAAATACCAGGCTAAGCTCCTGTTTCCATGCCAAAACCCACTGCCACATCCACACAGCATTATTTCATTACAGAACACTGGAGCAGAGGTTTTCAATCAGCTGTGTACCCACTCAGAAATGCAAACAGGATCCATTTTCCTGAGCGCCAAAGTGACCACAGCTGAATAAAATCTCTTCACTCCCAACTTCTGGAAAAGTTTGTGAACACAGCCCAGACCCACCCAGGCTCACACTTTGGGTTTTGTACAACAAATGTATCACTAGAGGCTTCCCTTACACATGAGTTCATTTACAGAAGTTGCAGAGACTTGCAATTATGTACTTTTTAATAACAAAAAAATGAAAAGCTAAGACTAAACTTTAAAGCTCATGGTGTGTGGGGAAAAAAAAAAGCAATATAAAACCATTTCTTTTGCAGTTACGTTAAAAATAGCTCAGCTGCCATGAATAATAAATGCAATTCAAGAATAATAAAGTGCCAGTCTCACCCCATCTCTGCCTGGGCGTCAGCTTCTTTTCTCTCCCGTCCTTTCTTCAGCTGCCTTAGATTCTCTCCACGTTGTGATTTATTTCTCCCTTCCTCTTTCTTTCTCTGTCTCTCTCCGGATCCGGATGCTCTTTAAATTTCCTCCGGAATTTCACTTTGAAATCTGCTAGCTTTGCGGTCGGTTTCCAACGCCCGGCAACCGCCGGCCGCGCGGAGCAGCGAGGGCAGGGGCGGCCCGGAGCCCCCCGACCTGCGGGAGCCCAAACCCAGCGGCGGCCCCGGGCGCTCGGCGGGGATGTCGGGCGCTGCCCCGGCCGCTGCGCTCCCCAGCAGCTCCCCCTGCGTTCTGGCTCCCGGGCTCCCTCCTTCCCTTCAGCATGGGAGGGGAGCAGCAGGATTAGGTGGTGCTTTTGCAAGCGCTTTCAGACAAAGCCGTCTGCTCGCTGCTGCTCCGGCAGCACCGCAAGTTTCTCCCCGCAGCCCAAAAGCCCAGCCACCGCTGCCGCTCGTCCTCCAGGATCGCGATTTCTTTGTTCTCTCTCGTGTTGTAGTTTTTCGTGTTTTTTTTTTCTTTCTTTCTCTCTCCTATTCGCTTCCTCCCTTCACCAACTGCCCCATCTCGGTCACATTTCTCCGCTCCTTCTCTCGACTTTATTCCAGGGGCCGGCGCCGGCTCGGCGGCACCACCTGCCGGGCACAGCGAGCAGAGCTGGGCGCTGCCGAGCAAAGCGGGCACAGCTGAGTGCCACAGCCGGGCACAGCCCAGGGGCACAGCTGGGCACCACAGGCCGAACGCTGCTGGATCACGGTTACTGAAGGGGTTCTGGCTACCCACAGGGAAAAGGAAAACAACAACAACAGCCCCCTCTGCCTCCAATCCCCCTCCCCCCCCCCAAAAAAAAAAAAACAACCAAAAAGCAAACAAAAATCCCCTGCAATCTTAGTCTAGATATATTCTATCACAAACAGGTGGCTCCTTGTTCTGTCTTTCGTGATGCAGTTCATACAAGCGGAAAGTTAACACATGGCACGAATACTCTCAGGAAATAGTGAAACACCCCTGGAAGAAGGGATGCTGGGCAGGCTTGGGGAAGGAGCCTCGGTAGAGAGCAGGCAGTGCCAGCGTGCCCAAGGAGCCGACAGCCCTCGGCTGAGGTACCCAGGGGCAGAGAGGTGCCCAGCTCACTGAACAATGGCAGAGGGCTCACAGCAAAGCCATGAGAAAGAACTGCTCCATTTTGAAAGAATCAAAGTGCTGCAATCCATTCATCAAAGAAAAGCATTCAGCGTGACTCTAACGCAGCCATAAAAGCTCCCCAGCAGAAATAAACTTTGAACAAGTGCTTTCCAGTTGAGCCAGCACAGGTACAGCACGGCCTGAGGGCTGGGAGCAGGAGCTGAACAGGTCAGCCTGGGGAAAAGCAGCATTTCCAACCACAAGGGCAGACACAGCGGCGATCCGGCCTGCTGAAGGCAGCAGAAGGCCCATCCAGGAATGGATATTTCACACCTGCTCTTTTGTAGCCTCTATCCAACAGCTCAGAGTAGAGATTCTGCACACAGCAGCTGTTCTGTAGGCAAGGCCCAAAGTGCACCCAGCCCGGCATTCCCACATGTAAGACAAACAGGATGGAGGCCTGCTTGTGAGCGCTGCGTATTTTGTCGCTTGTGACAGAGATCAGAGTGGAGTGGTATCAACTGCAGTTATTCTCAGCTTTAAGTAAATTACATCAGAAACTGTGAGGCTGTGGATGAGTGCATGAGCACACACGCAGTTTTACAGGTTTTTAGAGCAGGTCCAGTAATGAACCTGAAGTGCGGCTTTGGCACAACAGCATTCCTGCATTTCCTCCAGCATTCCACTCAGATCCTCACTGAACACCACTGCTCAGCTCCCACAAATGCCTGCATCACCTTAAAACATCCCACTATTCTAACGAAGCCTCTCATAAGCAGACAGCGCTGCTGAGTGACGCTGCTGGATCATCCCCACCTCATTTATGCTCTTTACTTATCAGGGCACTTTAATGGGAAATGTTCCCAAGAGAGATTTTGTTAATCCCATGCAGTTCTGCGCATTAATTTCTCCATGCATTAACCATTTTAGAACTTGCACCAAAGTTGTAAGCTTTGTACGAGTAATTTTGCAATAAAAGGTGGGAGCAGTGCTGTAACTCAATATTAACGGCACAAACCAACACTTCACGCTCTGCTTTCAGCATTTCAACTCCACTCTTTTCCCTAAGGCATTTAAAAGGGAGGTTTACTGAGGCAGGTGTAATTCTTTGTCTCCTGTGTCTTTGCTATTGCTTACATTTGGGGCTACAGTTTGCTGCCAAAAATTTTAAGCGTAACATCAGATGAAGTCCGAGCTCTGCTTGAAACGATGGCAGCAGCTACAAGCACAGACTGCTGGAACCAGGAGAGCTGAGCTGTGCTGGGGGCTGTGGGGAAGGAATGTTTGCCCAGTGCTCTGCTGTGCTCAGATGGGTGAGGGCAGGACGTGAGTTGGAGCAGCTGCAGATGCTTTGAGCTGGCAATGGAACCAGCAGCTCCAGCTCTGCCCCGGCAGTACTGAGCACCAGCAATGCTCCTGCTTCCTGTTCTCTGCCCTTCCTATGTGCAACATGGGAACCAACGACACAAGGACTAGAAGTGCACTGAGGATACTAATGAAAGTAGGGCACAGTATCTTTCATATCGACCTGTTAACGGCAACTTATCTGCAACTCCTTGAAGCTAATTATTTTACACGTTTAAATTAGGGTAATTAGATCAGCAGGAATTGAACTAAAACCAAACGCTGGTAGCCTTGTGAGGATTTTCTGAAATGGGGTTCTGTATTCCATCTGCATCTCCTTCCACCGAGGGAAACGACTGAGTTCCCAGAGGGAAGCATGGAAATTTCGATCACTTCCTCCGTTATCACACATCACGTCCCATCTGCATCGTTAATTGCCATAAAATGCAGGGAGGGAGAAGGAATACTGGTAACAGAACCCTGCAAGGAAGTCGCTTCCCTTTCAAACTCTGAGACACTTCAGAGCCCCTCAGATCCAGTTTCTGCTCTGCGCTGGTGGTTACTGACAGGCAGCACAGCTCACCAACAGAACAGTCTTTAATTTTCAGATGTCCATTCCAGAGTTCTTGTCCACGCTCTGAGTGAGGCAGCACAGCCTTCTCTTCAGGAATCCAAAGGCCGAGAATCCGTGTTATTTTCCAAACAAGAAAATGTAAGAGAACTTTTATTTGAAAAATGAAAAAGAGTTTCAGAAAAAAAATGCTCAACTTTTCAATGCAACTTGCAATTCAACTTTCAGCTCCTTTAACAAAAGGAGCTGCACAGCTGGAGTTCTGACCAAACCTCAGCAATAAATCCCCAACAATTTAGGCAGTATTTACGTCAGTTCACGACTCTTCTGCACAGAAAAGATGCATCACAGTATCACTAAAAGCACATTAGAAAAATAAATGTATGGGAAGTTTTAAAAACAGTTAAATAAAGAGAAAAGAGAGAAAAATAGAGAAAGATGTGAAGACGACTCAGGGACTTCTAACAAAGCATTGGATCTGACACCAATACTATGGTCAGTGACAAGTAATCTAACCTGATGAAAAATGAGGGTAGTAGCAACCTCTCGGGACATTGGGAGACTTAATTAGTTGCTATTCGTAGATTAAACACAAAGTCTGAAGGTGAAAGGCACTAAATGCTAAGTATTATTAGCTTCTGAAGTATTAACTTCTGTAATTGGGCGACTCCAACAATACAAAAAAGTGGATCAGTGTCAATTTTTGATAAAAAAAAAAATTTATTCTTATGGTTCTAATGTGTCAAAAAGGCATTTTGCTTTTAAAAGTACCAGCTGCTAACACGACTGTGCGACGCACAATGCTGCTTGTCACCTTCAGTTCTGAGCTTCTGACTCCTACCCAAATTGACATTCCACATTCCTTAGCAGGAAACCTCATCTGAAGCAAGCAGCTCCACGAGCTGCACACACTGCACTGCGCTGCACTCCTTGAGGAAAACTCACAAGCATTTATTCATTAAGACAAGGCACGTCTGCTTGTACTGCTGAGCTCTCTCTTACAGCCTCTGATCTTTCTGTGGTCAGTTCTGGATTTTCCAAGTCTGCATTGGTGTCTTTGGAGCTGGTCTCTCCGATCCTCCAAGGCAGAGATATATGGCCCTTGTAGAAATTCCAAATGAACAAGAAAAAGAAAAGAAGAGCAAAACCTGCACCCAGGAGTTTTAAAACAAGATTCTCCTTTTGGCTGCCCACAGATTTCTGTTTTGGTGCGTCTTTCAGTAAATAAGTTGATACTGAGGACTGAAATCCCACAGCTTCTCCTTCGTTATTGCCATCTGTTGCAGCATTAACATTTGCCTTCTCTGTACTCTGCTGTGCATAAAGGGCATAACGGGCCACAGTGACAAAGAATTCCTTTGCTCTGGATGTCTCTACTGAGAGGCAATCATAGAATCCAGTCTCAGCCGCTGTCGCATTAAATATTGCTATGCCTCCATCATACAGGAGGTATTTAGAGTCCTTATCCTGAATTCGGCTCCCATTGAACTTCCACACTACTCTTGCCAGATTTGAAAGAGGAACACATTTAAGATGAACATTGTTTCCAAGAGTAAAGAGGTGTTTTCTCACATCATTCTCTGCAATTATGAAGATAATGTTTTAAGTAAGAACACCGAAGATTTAGCTGAACGTACAAAAGCAGATGCATGCTCAGAACACACCACTGAACCTGCCAGTCTGAAAACAGGTAATGGACACATAAGCAAAGACAAAGCAATCCCACGACTAAGAGGTCCAACACAGGGGCAGGGTGCCTCTGCTGGCCTTACTCCTGCTGAGGTGTAACCAAAAGATACGGGACCAGAAGTTTTAATGTGCTTTTGGCTCACCTTCAAATGTGGGCACACATAAACAGATCAATCTTTGTATGCCTCAGTTCTTCTATTTGTTAATGACACAGCTTCACGGATCTGTCCGTGTAGATCTGTGAAATGTTTATATTAGGTATTTTAAAGTTTCTCTATTGGCCCAAGGAGTGCCCTAGTGTCATTTGTGGTGTACTCTCAGACAAGATTACAGACAACAGACTTTAAAAAGACATAAGGGGAGGTAAGAGAGAGATTTTGTGACACTGACAGAAGCCATGCACCTTGCAACTCATTACAAAGTCAATGAATAACAACACACACGTGAAATTCCACATTTAAAAGAATACCAATTTCACTAAAAATAAGTATTTTCAATGGCTGATAACAAATCATCTTCTTTTTAAGTGTACTTTTGAATAGCTTTTGTGATCTGCCTGCAGAACAGCATCCTAAAAGCAGTGACAGATTTAATAGGACAGCTAATGCACCATGTGATTTCTGCAGTGCACGTGGGAGGGAAACGAACACACACACACACACACACACCCCTGCTTCCTGAGTTTCAGCCTGACTGAAAGGGTTAAGATCATTAGGTGGTACTAATTGTGGGTTTTTTTTCCCTATCTTTATTATTCACAAAGAGTAACAATGAGTATGATTGTAATACTGTGGTTTTCTATAGTGTAAGGATCCCAGTGACCACATGCTGAACAAACATTTCAGTTGCATGATGTTAGAAGACTCATTTGTCAAATAAAAGCTCACATACCTGCACTAAGGCAGCCAGAAGCATCCCCATATTTCACATTTTGGATTAAATTCCTGGGAAAATAAAAACATCAACAGAACTGTAACAACCAGAGAGATGTTCCACCATTTCTAGGAACCACCCCAGTTTTGTGTTGCAGGCAGTAGGAGCGCACTTATAAAGCAATCTGGCAGACCTGAATGACCTGCCTGGATGCCGACCTGTGCGACCTGCTGTAGGGAACCTGCTTTGGCAGGGGGGTTGGACTCAATGATCTCTGGAGGTCCCTTCCAAGCCCCACAATTCTGTGATTCTGTGACTTACTGTGTACCAGCAGGCTGATGTGGCAGCAGAACACAGGCACGGGCAGCCTGAGACCAGGCGCAGTATGGGTCCCTGGCCAGGACGCAATCCAAGCAGCGCTTGTAGCGCTGGCAGCCCGAAACTGGAAGCTGCAGCACTGCAGACGGGGACCCCACATAGAGCATCCCCTAGAAACACAGGAGGGAGGTTTCGTTTCATAATGGTGAATGAGATTTTAGATTGTTATTTTCTAACGTGGATTATATTATTTCCTAGTAGTTATTAAAAAAAAAACACAGTAAACTAAAATCCTTGAAGGAATGGATGCTGATATAAATAAGAAAAAACAGCTCTGTGTAACATGTAAAACAATAGAGTTCCTTCCCTATTTCTTTTAATGACCATAAGGCTTGCAATAAATAACATTCTTACACTAACATGCTCTTTTTCTATAGATAAAAACATGCATTGTGTTATTAGCTCATATGTGATGGAAACAGAATTACGAGGTATTTACAGGCTACCTAAGGTCAGAAGAACACTAGAGAAGAGCCAGGCCTGAGGCAAGTCATTACAGCAGTCACTTCCCATGCGCAGGGACAGCAGCTCTACCTTTTTAGCAGACAGCTGCAGGAACTGCACAGGCTCAGGGGACAGAAACAGCTGCAGCTCTTCCACAATGAACATTTCTCCATCGCAATTGAGAGCTTTATGCAAATATCCATCATCTACATAAAAATAAATGCATTTTTATCTATGGACTTGTTTAAACATTGCATAACATTTTAGCCTGATAATTCACATTCCAATTAGGTGAGATGGAGCAGACATTCCTGGGCATAAGGAATTTATGAAATTCTTCAAAGCAATGTTTATTTTTTCTTTTAATAATCTTTTTTTTTTTCCCCCCGGAGAAAAAAGACCTCAAACAATCCCTGAATTTGCAAATATCGTTCTGTGAAGTCTCCTTTGATATGGAAAGTTTCTAAAGAGAACCTTTTAATGTCCAACAAGCCAAAACCATTTAATCTAACTGATATGAAAATATTCAACCAGCAAGACAGCTCCTGAATGCAAAACTTCAAACAAAGCTAATGAATTCTGTTATTTTTTTGAAGCGCAAAAAAATCTGTCACAAAATACAGAAAGATGAATAATATCTTCTAAAATTAAAACCCTCACCTGTTCCTAGAAACATAACATCGTAGGTCTGCTTATCCAGGCCAGTAACTCTGTCTACCACAATCCTGGTGTAGTTTGAGCTCCTCTTCAGCAGTGCTGGCCTACCACCGACTGGATTTACAGCGCCATCCATCAGAGGGTGATCTCTAGCAAACTGCAGGACTTTGTCAGGCAGGTCAGAAGATGTATTATACCCCAGATTCCGGGCAAAATTATCAATACACTGGAAACAAAACACGTTACAACTGATTACAATTGCTTTTACATCGCAGCAAGGTATGTGAAAAACACTGAATTTTCTTCTAAATCCTGGTATTTCCATTTAGCTCCAAACATGAACAGTCATGATTTCCTCAAACAAACCAGTTAATAACCCCACAGCTCCTGCAGAACAGAACTGCAGAGCAGCTGTCCTAAGAGAAGCCTGTGACAGAGCGAGCAGCTCTCTGCTGACTAGAAACACAGCATTTATATTGGTAAAACAGGCACTCATGCTTTGCTACCAAAAAAAAAAGATGAGAGCAACTATTGTTTAATTAGTACAAGGAAAATTGTATTTACAGCACCAGGACGTGGAACTGGCACCTCTCCTCTAAAGGCCACCCATCTAACGTGGGAATGCTCCACAGCTATGGGGCCCCTGTAGCTTCCTTTGGAGAAGGCTTCCTGAATGCCTGCCATGCTGTACGCACACACAGCTGATACGTCCAACCTGCCCCTGAGAAGAAAGAAACAGAACTCCTGCAAAATAAAAGCAGGTTTTATATGGGAAGAAACACTACAAAATAACCAGATTGAAAGAACAAACGTATATAGAAAGAAGTAGTGGAAAGTAACCACAATGCACACATGTGAAAGTAAAAAAATACCTATTTCTATGTTGCAGTTTTCACGATTCCCTGAAGGAATAAAACAAAGACATTCACAAAATACTGTATTAAATAGGTTTCTATTAAAAATCATATAACCACCCTCCAATAAATTGGAATAGGTAACAAAACGAGCACCTTTTAGACAAATTCTGTGTCTCTTTACCACACCCAAAGGAATAAACGCTGTGACAGAGAACAGAACCTGCCAGCAGGAATAAGCTGACAGGTGAACAGGTGGCAGCAGGTTAAGCCATGCAGTGCTGATGAACTGCATTCTGAGCATCCTGATGCTTTGACAAACCATGCAAGTTACTCATGGCTACTTTGGTATTTTTTGACAGGCAAAGTTGGAGACACTTTGTCTTACTCAGAGCAGTAAGAAAAAGTCAGCAAATCGTAGAACATGAAAGCAGTCTGGAGTTCTGGCTTTGTTTTCACAGAACATCACACATACAAGCAGGCCATGACAAATGCTGCTTTTGGAACAGAAGAATAATTCTGCACCCTGAAATGTCAGGTATTTCCTGTACTGCAGCGTACACCAGAACCCAGGGCTTTGTGTAATTAATTATGCAATTTTGAACATAATTACTCCACTATCTGAGTGGAGAAAACATAACTCTCGAGATCTGACTTAGTAACAGCTTTGGATTAGTGCTCAGTTGATGGTCTTGGAACCAATCCCATCTTGTTTCAGAAGGTGACAACGTTTGCTCAGAATGATCGTGCTGTAAGAAAAACAAACACGGGCCAATTAAACAGCAGAGTAAGCAGCTGAGAGCTCCTTGTTCTGAGTGAACACCACAAGGCCCAGGCTGTTAAAACCGAAGCAGAGCCCTTATTCAGCTCATCACACACTCAGCAGCACATGAAGCCCTCTATCTTACCACTGCTGGGAAAAAATTCCGTAAAAGACGCTGTCCTGCCACTTCCCTCTCCTAAGGAAAAAGATGTCCTGAATGATATTGAAATGGAAGTCGAGTTCTGGAACGGAGCAGGAAAGTCGGGCTTTTAAAAACGAAGTCCATCTTCTCTGCAGTAAGCGCTTCCCACCAAGGTCACCCTAAATAAAAGAACACCATCAACACTGCAACACATAAAATGTAGATTATCATCTGATAATGTTGCTGTAGTAAAAGAAATATAGCTGTCCTTTCAATACAAATCTCAGTTCTAAGACCTAGAAAAAAGGTTTAAATGTCAAATGCAAGCTGAGCAGCTGGTTCTGTTCTAGCGTGAAAGAAAAGAGAGAGAAAATTCAGGAGTAAAACATACCGAATTTTGTTTGGCTAAACCAACATTAAACGCTCAACTACAAAACTTCATCTGAAATACTGTAAACAAAATCTTTATATTTCAAACACTAACTTTGCAGATTCGGGCAATTCTGGACACCAGAATCTTGTCATAGAATTCAAACTCAACAGCTGTTTCAGTGAAGAACACATAAATTTTATCATCATCTCCATCTGGACTAAACTCACTTTCAGGTACTATTTCCATGCCAACAAAGCTTGGTTCTGAAATGCATAAATACAAAAAGCAATTTAAGTTAGCACTAAGAAAACTCACAAACAGCAGATATTGATTTAACAGTAAGTCTAATTAAAGTTAAGAGCTGAAAAGTATTTATGAATATGAAAAATTAAAAGAAGGAATTGCGTTTTAAATGGAGAGAGGCAGAGGCTTGCCTCATCACTGCAGATCTCAGGCACAACGTTTTGAATTCCCATTTCAGGCCACTGCCAACCCAACATAACACACTGTTACATTCTAGAGATGGATCACACACCAACAGATGCTCTCTTGAGCCTGAAGTATGCATAAAGCTTCTTACCATTTAGCCAAGACGTTTTAAATTCTGTTCTTACAGGATTTTGCATGCTGCGAAGTATTATAGGTTCTGTTCCCAAGAAATTATTTGAAGTAGCTGAGTAAAATGCCCCATCTGTAAAGGTTTGGAGAAAACTAAAAGCATCAAGTACTTTATTTTAAAATACAAAGGCAAATCTTAAGGAACAAATGGGTTGTTATTCAAAAGCAGAATGAAGATAACAAAAAGTCTTCAAGGCTGTACATCAGTGAAAACACACCTACAAAAACAGCTGCATGTTTCAGAGTTGGCTCAAAAGGACACTTCCCTCTGCTCTCTTCAGCTCTTCCTTGCAAATGCATCTTTGTCCTCTGGATAACCTAAGGCAAGCAATCACTTTGATAGGATGAAGAAAACACCCTTTCAGTGTATTAACATTGGCAAATTGGCAATGAATTAACAACTGGCAAATGCGCTTAAAGGAAAACAATCACAGAAGTAACTACAGAAATGTGAATCTCATGCAAAAAGAAACAGCATCTGGGCATCTTGGTGTTTCACGTGTTTCTGAGAGAACCAGGAGAGTTATGAATTTTCAAATGAAACATTCTTAGAAAGGCGTTTAAAAATCTGCCACAACTTGAGCTCCTTCAAGTAAAACCCACATTCAGATCTAATTACCATGTGGTCACACAGCGGGTGATAGGCGTTTGTCCCACAGACATACAGGTGGGAATCATTGATCTTACGCAGGACGAGGATGTAGTTTTGGCACCTTATCTGAAACAATGAAACAAAACAAAAGAGCACACTTAAATCCTGTGACAGATTGCATGCGAAAATTTTCTTGCCTTAGCAGCACACAAAGAAACCAACAGGTTTAAATGAACTTGATTTTAGTTCTTTACTAAAAAGAAACATCAAACTGCAGCCATTTTGATTTTAGCTAATAAGCTGGGGGAGGAAACTAAGGTTTCACCCACCTTGTCCTTGCCTCTACGAATACATTCCAGCTGTCTTTCCTGCGTAGCCAACCAGTGTTCCTACAGAGTGGGCTTCTTAGTTGGTATGCTGCAAAACTTAGCTCAAAATTACGCGTAAAAAGAAAATCAAAGGAAACTTAACATTGAATACACTGAGGTATATAAGCACTTTTCTAGATGCCTGTGTAAAGTGCAAGGTGCTGTAAAAAACAACCTGGATAGAGGTATAAAAGGGGCCTCAAAAATAAGAGTTAGCAATAAAGCTTCAGGATTTGAAATGTAAAATTATATATGTTAAAATCAGCATATTACATCCAAATAAATAAATCCACAGTCAAAGTTTTGCTTTGATTTGAAAAAAGGCTGAAAATGAAGGCAGGTCCTTCACTTACCCTGGCAGTTTCTCTGGAAATGTTATTCAAATCCAGGGCAGATATTACATCCCTGCCTCCAACAAACAGCCTATCAGTTTCTTCATCCACAAGGAGAGCGGAGACATTGGACAAGCCTTCTTTCACAAACATTTCTGCATTTAGAGCTATGAAACACAGACGTTATTTTAAAGCAAATTATCACTGGGAACTCAGTGTTATGTAGTAAGAATTCCAGGTTGAAAATAAATAATAACCAAGCAATGTGAAAGCTTATATGTACTTCCAAAAGAGTTTCTAAATAATCCAAAGTATTCAGATAAGCATATGTATATTCTTTCCCCAATTTAACACAGGAAGAATAAACAACACTATCATTATTACACTACATTTGGGTGTTCCTGAGTCATTTACATAAATGCAAGTAAAACACTGGGGTGAGACAGTCAATAGCATTCCTTCCTGCCCCTAGTAAGAAATGAACCCCCAGTACTGTTTTATGTTTCTTTCTGCTCATCAAATGACTCCTTTTCACTTACTTTGGTATTTTACTGTTTTTCTGGGAATGCAGTTCCCAACAGATGCTTTTACCTCTTGCATTAATTGCAAAACAAGACAAAGGACAACAGCAGTGCCACCCATTTCCTGAGACTCAACTAGAAAAACGTTTTTCCCAGCTTTTACTCCTTGTTATAATCACAATTTCTTCATGGTTCTTGAAGATGTCCTGCTGACAACCTCCAAAGCAGGTATTTCCTGATAATCTTGGCAGTAAACCTTTAAAGTGCTCCAGCAAATCCCAAGCAAAACCAGTGCTAGGCAGCAGTCACCTGCAATTACAGAAAGCACAACGCCAGCTTCCACACCTCTTTTTGTAAAGAATCTGTGCTTTTTCCAATTTCAACTGTGTGCAAATGGCAACACCTGAGGAAACCACTGATGTAAGCCAAATGAAGTAACTTTAGGAATTAAATGAAGTTAATAAATCACGTTGGAAACTTGAGAATGCTATTAAATAAATGTCTGCCACTGTATTGTAACCCAGGCTGTGACTGCCATGGACAGACACTGCCCACACCTTGGCTGAGGCATTTTCTGGGCCAGCAGCACAGACCGTGGCATTTGAGAACCAATTTCTTCTGATCAGCATTGATCTCAGCCCCTAGGATGGCTGCTCAAAACACCACGCATTCACAGCCATCCCATCTCACCTGTATTGCAGTGGACAAACCTCAATTCCAACCCTGATTCCCACAGCAAATTCAGCTTCGACCCCTTCCCTCGGGGACCACATCCCGAGGCTGTGGCAGGGCAGTCATGCCCCGTTAGCCTCCTCCAGCTATCCCTCAACCACACATCATCCCACCCCGCTAAGAACGCACCCAGCAGCCCGCACCGCAGCGCCCGAGGCCGGCTCCCCTCAGCCCACGGACCCCAAGATGGCGGCCCCTCCCTCAGCCCCGCGCCCGTTGGCGCCCCGCGCTGCGCTCACGTGACGCTCCCCGCCTGCGGGCGGGAAGGCGGTGTCGCGTGAGGTGCGTTGTGTGGAAACCCGAAGAAAATCATTATCGTCGGTCCCTAATTGAACTTTTTCTTTTACTGACGCTGGTTTCTCGAGCAGTGTTAGGACCGAGCTACTGATAGTCAGCAGGAGCGGTTGCTTTTCATTTCTGTGTCAAATGACACGCAGAACAATTCGTTTTTCTTTATCGTTTCTATGATACAGTTTTATGCACTGCTTATGTGCAGGAGTAAGCTATGAGTTTGGAAAAGACATACAAATCAAATACGCGTGAAGCTGATTTGTGTCTTCTCAGTGACTGATGGATAAGGAGCGAAATAAAGCCTGGGCTGCTCTGTGTGGGGAGCACTGCAGATGAGCAGAACCCTGCCAGTAAACACACAGCGACTGACAGGGCATCAAAGGCAGAGCTTTGGGTTCTCAGTCCTTTCTCCTTACGGATGGTTTTTCGTACTTCTGACTTCCTATCCACCAGCTCTGTCTCTAGAGGTCTTGCAAACCTGTACAGACTGTTAACCCCAACAACAAACCAGGCTGTAAGGAAGTTCTGCCAAGCGGGCAGCTGTTAAAAATAAGATTTCCTTGCATTCCATTTGCTGCTTTTCTGTTGTGTTGTTATCCAACGAAACCCAACCTGCCCCTCGGAGCACAGCTTTGCTAGGAGGCAATCTTCAAGAAAACGAGCACAGCCTTCTAATGGCAGGAACGAGGCACAAGAAGCTCAGAGAACACACCGTGTGCCAGCGCTTTCCTGACCAGCAGTAACTTTATTGCCCACAGACAACACAAACATTTTCCACGCTTGCTGCAATTGAGCAAGTCACCTCCGTGACAAAGTTGACAAAAGCCATTTATCCCAGAAGTCCCCTGTTGCTCTTTGAGCATGTTCTCATCTGAGGAGCTCATTACTGCCCAGATCTACAGCCCGGTTGTGATCGGCCACTCAGTTGTGAGATATGCAGAAAGAAGGATGCGACAGGACTTTGGAGAATTTATTTTTAATTAGAAAATATACCTGTTCGTAGCATAGAAAACAATCCAAACAAATAACATTTGAATTTCTGAATCCAGACTTTTCTTTTTTAGCATGACACATCGTGATGAACTTCAAAGCAAAATGGAATAGGAAAAAAGTACCGTACATCGATTCTGAGAAGTAACATCTCGGCACAGATGAAGCGTTCACGCTAAGGATGACGGAGCGTTGTCAAAAAACAAACAATAAATAGGAAAAACGTAACTGGTGTTACAACAAAGGAAAGCCTCAGAGACAAAACAAACAAAAAAAACCCCTCATATGATTTCAACACAATTACTCCAAATGGCGTATTAGCAACTACAGTTCTTCACTCTGTTAAAACACCTCCCCAAAACAGGGATCTCCTCATTCCTCTCCAATGAGAGCAAACACCCTTCTTCTAGAACCAGGTCCTTACACGTGTAACAACTGTTTAAAGGGAAAGGAGAAAAACAGAGGAAAAAGGCAGAGCTGGGACTCGAGTGTGTCTAGTAAATCTTGCCATAGGTGTCAGTGTAAAAGCAAGGGACAGGAGACTCAGCCTGTATCCTTAGCAAATAAATATGTGCACTTCAGCTCTCAACAGAACCTGGCTGCACAACTGTTAAATTTCAGTTTGCTGCGGTTTTTTTTTCTCCTCGTATCCCATCTAAAGAAGGAATTCAAATTTAAAGGCAATAAACCACACATATATGCAGAAAGTTTTGCTGTCTTAAAGTCAGAACATGAAGAAAACTGGAAACGACTGCGGATAAAAAGTAAAACTGGCATTCTAACTGGAGCACAACGGTTCTGGCGTTCATTTGGAGACTAACACTGCTGTGTATGGGTTTAATACACTGGAAGCCACGTGAAGAAGTAACTAAGAAATGATTTCGTGGCTGTTCTCAACAGAAGCTTTTAGCAGCACAGAAACAGAGGGACCTTCCTTCCCTCACACACTAAAATCCTGCTTTACATTAACATAACACTGCATAATCTCAATTCCACTTGTTAGTGCCAAAAATGATGCACATCTCTTACGAACGGCCAAACTCACAAGCAAAACATTTAAACCACATAGTGTTTAGTTCTATATTTATTGCAGATATTAAAAGATTAACAATGCTAACAGTTTTACTTACACTGAAAGGAAACGTCAGTTACCCAATAACATAAGCATCTAATGTTACTAGCTAAATGCTACTGCCAATTTGCATGGAACAGAAACTAGCAAATTGCTCTGCAAGATTAATGGCAAAACAAACAAGCAAAAAAACCAAACAAAAACAAAACAAAAAAACAACAGAAAAAACCCAACCAAAAGACAGTAGACACACCACTGCAGTTAGTTAAAATGTTCACTGAAGCTTGCAGTCTTCATGGAAGAGAGCCTGGAACTAAAATAACAGAAAAGAAGCTAGTAAACTTTCAACAAGGCAATGTATCTGCATAACAAATGTTGCATATGTACATATTTAAATTTTCAAATCAGAGCTGCCTGCAAAAGCAGGTCAAAATAAAAGGAAATTCCTTTTGCAAAAGGAGCATAAGGTCATCTCTTGGTAACACAAGATAAAAGTGGCAAATCGTAACTCACGAGAGAGCAACACTGGAATCTCAGCACCAATACTGCTCTGTTGATGTCTTGTCCAAAATTAAAGTTTGGCACAAGAAAGACAGACCATACTGTAACTACAGCCATCCAGAGTAGCAGGTTAAGATTTTCACTTTTAGTTTCAAGACAGCATTGCACTCTAAATTGAACTGCAATCAGAAAGGAAGGTACCCTTTTCCAATCTGGATACCAAGAGTTTTCCCAGATTGGGCAAGCAGGCGTTTAGCAAAGGCACCCAAATGGGACTGCGGCCAAACTCGGGTTAAGTCAGAGCAGCGCAGAATGCTGATCTAGGCTGAGAGGCTGGATTTCAATCCAGCGTGAAACGACACTGCCTTGTGCCTTTCTGCAAGTAGTGCAACACATAATAAGAACGCTACCAAAACGCAAATGTTAAAGAGGAGGTTAACTGGAAGTTTGCAAGGAAATAATAAAAGCTGTGAACAGAAAAACTGGCAGCTTCATCAATGGAACTAAAGGAAAAACTGATCCCTTTTGAGAAATAACTCAGAAGCCAACAACATCAGTTCCAGACTGTCACTGTAAAACACAGTGACTGATAGTTAGCCATAGGCTCACGTTTCGGATTACATAACTGCTAACCAGGCACAGAAGAGAGGCAGTGAAGAATACACCCAGCTGGGAACTTAACAGGCACCACCAAACACCATGACTGATGTCCTTTAAAGTAGGTACAAAACATTTATGGATTTAAAGCATCTCCAAGTAAAGTAAAGCCTACAGAAATCTCCAGACCATCAAATGTCTTTAATTAAATGTGATAACCAGATAAACTTATGTGTATTTATGGTCTTCGTGCTTCAGCTCCTTGTTAACGTAAAGGTGAAGACATGTGATGTCCATGGAAAAACAGAACTAGCAGCGTGGTATTTTTCTGCACCTGCCATTATGGTTTTATGTAGTGATCAGCGTGCTTCAAAGCAACTAAAACAGTGATCAGAAAATTACACCAAAACATGACGCTGTTTCTTTTAGTTTCACAAACCCAAACCATAAAGAAAAAAGGCTTGCATTCATGATGGTTGTTACAGGCCAGAAAAAGTTTGTTGCTACAGAACGGAAACAAATAAACTCCCTTTCAACCAGCAGGGTTTGTAATGGAGAGTATATAATGTTCTTTAAACAGCAGACACAGGCACGTTTGTAACTGAAGAGCACACTTTGTTGTGTATTTGTCAGTTAGGAGCTTGAGGTGCTGCTACACTACGGTGGAGGGCACAAGCTCTTTGCTCTGTGAGGAAGCATGATGCAGGATGGGAACATCAGCAAGACAGCACTCGCTCCTAATAAGCAAAACATGCGTCAGCTCAAGATGAAATCTTTAAAGAGAACTTCAGTGAAGTAGGTTTTGGTACTGTAATATTCAAGTGAAGACTTTTAACTAATTTTAGGAAGGTAAAGATGGAGAAGCATGTTAAAAAAGTGCATGACATCCTGCCACTTTCAGTAATCCAGTCACAGAGCTCTTGTTGATGCGCTTGTCTGAAAAAGATGAATGATCAGACTTTGAATGTTTATTTGTGGTAACACTGCTAAATCTTTCATGTCTTCAGAGCTGCTTCACCAAGAAGTTAGGAATTGCTTTTTGTTGAAGCAGAGTAGGTTAATCCAGTCTTCTCTCTCATTTGAAATAGTCCCTCAGAATTACAAGCTTTTTGTCTTATTGCATGGGGTTTTCCAATGAAAACTTCTGCAAAGCCAATATTTAATAGAAACAGAAATTACTCTCTAAACTGATGGTCTTACAAAACTGATGGTCCACTTCCAGATGACTTTGGATTATTTGATTTCCAAGTATCTTCTCCAGTATTTTCTGCAAACACACAAATCACACCTGGTCATGGCTTAAACTTCCTTGAATAGGAAAGCTATTATTCAAGAATTGGTTGAACAAGAGCTGCAAACTTGTGTAAAATCAAAAAGTACATATAAAATATGCACTGCTTGTTTGCTACAATGGAAAACCTTAGCAGCCAATGTTTCCAAGGAAGATTTCAGCACTCTCAGACTCAAATGAACTTACTTATTCATCCTACACTTCAAGTATAGAATCCTATATAAAATAAGCAGGTGGGTCCAGATTCTTCTTGAAACTGGCATGTGGAGGAAAGGAAACTGCTTTAGGCAGACTCGAAAAGCAGATGAGAAGATGAGCCCATCAATAACATGCAGCAAAGCACAAACTGAACTGCCTGGTAATGAGTTTTTAGTTTGAGAAGGTTCTCAGCTTCCAAAAGGAACAGAGCCAAAGCAGGCTAGTCGCAATGGTAACGTTGCTGTTTCTGTTGGTAGTAAGCTGCCTCACTTCAAAACAGGCAAACGTGGCCTAAGAGGAAAACTGGCACTTCCAAGAACAAAACAGTTGTTTCTCCCTCAGGAGATGATATCCAAGTTGTTAGCTTGCACAATTAAATACAAGACTAACTTTAATCTTGGAAAATCATAATTCATAAGCGTTCCAGTCCACTACTACAGAACAAAGCGTTCTTCACACTGGCACTCTGCTGAAGACTTTCACGCCGCAGCCTTTGCATATCCGTGCTCTTTCTAACGAGCAAATCTCTTATGCCACACCTAGAAAGTAAGATTTGGGGTAATTCAGCAGCTCAAGGTAGGTCTGGGTTTTCATGAAACGTTAAGAAGCCAGATATACTCATGGAAACAATATTTTCTTGGTAAAAGACGACTTTAAAAACCTGGTATTTTAATGTTTGCAGGAA